GATTAATCTTTATAATGTGGTAATTAAGGTGTTTTAAGATCAAATATATATGGATCCATTATTTTGATCATTGTATCAAAAAGTAATGTATTAGAAGACAAGTTATATTGAATATTATAAGTTTAATAGATTGCCATAGCTTCAATTAGTTGTTTTAAGTTATATACAAGTTCTTGATTAGTAAAATGTTGAGAAGCAATTCTTCTTCTTCTAATTTCATTTGATAAGTCAATTTCACAAAATTCAGTATAGATTTTGATAGTGTTATTAGAATTACAAAAGATTCCTGAATCATCTTTCTAAACACCTTAAATTTTAAGAAATATAGGTTATTTCATATTCTTTTCTTTGAGTCTAATAAAATTAGTAAGTGTGTTGACTTGTTCATCTGTTAACTATATTTTTCTCTCTAAAATTCCTCCAGGGTAATGAGTTCCTAATTTGGTTTACTTGAGTGGTTAACCCAACACCATTGATGATTGTGAGGTTCCCATAATTAATATGTTTCAGTTAAATTTAATAAATGAACAAAGCTAGACGACACAGTTTCAATGAAGGGGATGGTTTAAAACTAAAGAGACTCAATGTTCTATATCCAAATACTTTTGTTAAACAACATCAGTTAGATAAGATAAGAGAGCATGAAAGAAAAAAGATGGAAAGACTTGCTCTTTAACTTAGAAAGTAATTTACAATATCCTCCAAATAGAAAGAATACAATCTTATCTTCATGTTAGAAATAACTAGAAGTTAACTTTAGACCTTGTTAACGATAATTGATACTCCATAATCATGAAATTAAAATCTAATCACTTTCATCAAAACACACTTCCTATGAAGGAATTAAATAAATATTTTAGCGAAAGCAATTTGTAGAATCTAAATACAAAGTTGATAAATTAATAACAAGCCCTTTGTCAAATGCTGAAAAAGAAAATCTATGCAATATTTACAATTTAAGGCCTAATAAAGTTATAAATAAATTAATTGATAGTGAAATTTAGAGAAAGAGTATTGTATAATAATTTAAGATGCTCTCTAAAATTGGAAAATCCAATTCAACTCATCACAGTGTGAAATCTATTTTAATATGAATTTTTAAATTTACTTCACTTTCTTTACACGTCTTTAATAATGTTTAATAATGTATTATTTTTTCTTTCATTTTAAAAAATAATTATTAGGATATTAGCAAATATTTTAATGAATTTTATTGATTAAGAAGAATACAATATACCCTTAGATTGTGAAGATCTTTTCTTTCAATTCAATTTTTTAGATAATCTTCCAACACCAACACCAGAACTTAGTAAATCAACATAAGAAAATCTATAATAAAAATTAAAAGATGAAAGAAAATCAAGGATACTTAAAAAAAGAATTGAAAAAAAATTAAAAATTAAAACAGATGTAGTATAACCTATGTCAAAAGAGGAGTTAAGAAAATTACGAAATAGAAATTCAGCTTAGTTATCAAGAGATAAGAAAAAAATAATATTTAATAATCTAATTTAAGAAAATAAGAATTTTACAGATATACTTAAGAAGAAAGACGAATAGATTGAATTATTACGAGAAGAAAACAAACATTTAAGATTAAGAATTGAATATTTAGAACAAATCAAGTAAATTTTTTTTTCTATAATTTTTAGATAAAATTACAATTCTGTATCTGAAGAAGGAGAATAAATATCTAGAGCTAATATAATCACTAAATCGAAAATGATGAATTATGGATTAATTTCTCTTTTAGCTATAACATGTATTTTTTCAATAATTACAAATGATTTTGAATACAATCCTAAACCTATTTCTTTATCCTAAATATCAAATTAAAGGTATGATTTTTTGGCTCCAAAATAATATTAAAGAAATCAAACTTCTTTATTTACTGATGAATCTAATTTATTTTAAATTCCTTCTCAATCCTTTTAAAATTAAACACTATTTTATAATTGTACAGGGAAAGAAAAAGAATGCCAAAACTTTTTAAATATAGTAAAAGCAGAAAATGCTGATAATATTTATTTTGTAAATGATGAAACTGATCATTTGCCAGCGAATTAAGATCATACCTTTTAAATTGGAGAAGATATTTATTTAATGAAAATAAAACAAGATGATGAAGACAATTTTGTAATATTTAGGTCAAGATGCTAAATAACAGAGAATAATTCATTAGCTTTTGAAAGAAATATCTATGAAGCATATAACAACAGTTTATAGTATTGATTTACTTTCTTATTTTAAATTAAATTTTGTTAATTCTATTAAAATAAATAAATAAATAAATCAATGAGCTTGGAAGAAGATCATAGAGATCATAAGGAAAACCCAAAAAAACGTTTACCTCTCAAAATAAAATGTGAAGATCTTAATCATTAAAATGAACTGGTTGAATACATATTTCTAAAAGAAAAGATTAATTAGAGAACAAGACTTCTTTGTAGAAAGTGTGTTGAAACAAAGTTTAGTTAATAGACAAACGAAATTGCTTTAATAGCAGATGTAAAATTTACTATATACACCATTATTATAGATCTTAGAAGATCCTTATAGTGTTTTAAAATTTACAAATTATTAAGGAAATGTTAATTAAGACCTGTGTGATTTTATATATTCTTATGACTTTAAATTTAATGAAGATGCTATCATTTCTGTAAAATATAAATTAATAGAAATAGTAAATAGATGTTATAAGATAAAGTTTTCTATATTAGTTGACTAAATTGGAAAGAAAGTTGGTAGAAAGCTTTTAATCATTTAAAGAGGCTGAAAGTTCATTAGATGTTCTTAAAAGTAAATTTGAACAAGTACAAACTCATAATTAAATTAGTACTTCGACAATAAAGATCTTATAAAAAGTTTAGATGATGCAGAAAAAAAATTTGATAGTTTTACTCCAAAAGATAAACAAATTTTAAGATAGGGGGTAAATGAATATGTTAAAAAATTGCATTTTTATGATTAAAAAGAAAATCATGAAAAATTTTAACCTCTTTTTGATTCTGTAAAAGCCAATAAACAAATTTTTGGGAATAAGGAAAAATAATTTAGGTAATTATAAAAAATAAATTGATTAGACTTTTTAAGTTTAAATTAGACTAAGGATTGGAAATGTTATAAAGAGAAATTTAAAATATGGAATAAACTTTCAGTACACAAAAATTTAGTTCTTCTGAATTAAGTACAATTTATATGGATTAATTGCTTGAAAAAATAAATCCTGATTTTAAGTTACATAATATTATATAGGATAAAATATAGAAAATATATAATTCAAGATATGATGGATTGGATTCTTAGAATGTTTATGAAAAAATAATTTAATTGGGTAGATTAGACATGTAGACATTACTATTTATATTTTAAACATCTTCTTTTTAAACATTTGGAGTATGGGTGGATAAAAATTCATCATTAATATTTCATTAAGGTAAATAATAGGAATTTCAAATAAAAAATAATGTATAACCTCTTAAAATGAATTATGATATGAAGAATCCTGAAAGATTAATGACATTTGGAAGGGATGACATTATAATATTATCATCATTTGTAGGTTGTATCTCTAAATTGGGAGAAGGGTTTAGTGTAACTGATGCTTAAGAAATAGGAGATAAAGAAACTTATTTGGCAAATTAAAAGTATTTTAATATAGTAAAAATGGAAATCTTTTAAGTTTAAAAATGAAATATTCAATAACAAACATAAATATATATATAATGTCTTTTTCATTCATCAGCAACAACTGAATAAATTGATGGAGCTCTTGAATTGATATTTTGTTCATTCTTTCTAAAGTATACAATGAATCCAATAAATGCTAAACTAAATAGAAGTCCAAATGTTAATGTTATATAAAATATGATATCTTTATGTTTTTAAAGATCTTTAACATCTTGAAAATGTTCTATCATTTGATCTTCATTGAAATCATATGTGATAGTTCTTTTAAGTAAAGGAACAATTAGTTCATCATTTAAAGGTTCTTATTTTAATGGACTTGTTTTATCAATTTATAACCAATAGATATAAGTTTTAGTGAATGAAACAACTTTACCGGTAATTTCTTCAATAGTATAATATGATTCAGGAACATTAAGAATGTATTAATTGCAAGATTATCCATTAATAAGAACACATTCATTAAGAGGTTATCTACCTATTGTCATAAATATAGGTAGATCTGTATATGGTTAAAGGGAAATTGTTTAATCTTCTAATTTGTATTTAATTACATCATAACCTTTATAAGTTGTAGTTTCTACATATTTTAATGTGATATTCCTATGTATATCAAAATCAAATAATTGTAATTCTTTTTAGAAATTAGCAATTAAATCAGGCTTGAATGCATAACCATAACTACCATAAACATTACTATCTTTTCCATAAGGATAATTGTAATATTAAGTTTAATATTCTGTTTAAGGATTATAATAAAGGATTCTTTTTCTTTTTATTTTAGATTCATCTAAAGTTCTCATAACTTATCCAACATTATCAACATCTTTTATACCAGTATCCATTTAATAAAAATCATACATAGTAGCAAATTTCATAAATTCTTAATTGTTTTATTCCAAAAGATGTGCTCCATTATCTCTAAAATTATTACCTTCATAAACTGGTTCAAATGATGATATTTTATCAGTGTAAATATTATCATAATCAAATAAATATTTTTATTACTATGTTTTTATCATATGACCTCCATACCAATAATTAGTTAAACAATGTTTCAAATACTTAATCAACCATTTTAATTATTCTTCTTATAATGGGAATTTTTCATTCAACTTTTTTGTACTATTAAAATGATTCTCATATAAGTTTCTTAAAGAATAGTATCCAAATATTCCTCCCATGTCAAAATGAAATAGTTTTTACTATATCTTTTCATTTATTTTTTCACCACTAAATGAATAAAATTCATAATGGACAAAAGGTTTATCAGAATATATATCCCAATTTGCTATTGTTATTGTTTCATCTTCGGGTTTAAACGCTAATTATGTTGGATAACTTTTAGTTACTGAACTATTTCCCCATTACTTATACCATAATTCTTCTGCTTAACATATTTAATATGTGCATTTATAATATTTTGATATTGCCAAATGAAATTCATTCAAAGCTTTTGAAAAATCTGACAAACCATCTGATAAATAATCCCATAAAACATCCTCATTAGCTTTTAAATCTTTTTACAAGGTTTTAAATGAATCTGATCCTTTCTTCTCAAATGCAGCATTTACCCAAATTAATGCATTTTTTGCATTTAAAGTAAAATCATATTTACTTCCACATGCATCTACAAATGGAATAAAATAGTCATCTTCACAATCGATTGTTTTAAATTTATAAAACAATGCTTTTGCGTATAACCCATCTCTTAACATAATACCAGCTTCATATATCATTTTGCTCATGAATCTCCATGTTTAAAATGCATATGTATCTTCGATATTATTTATATAATCATATTGAGTATTAAGATATTTTATCAAATTTTTAGATTTTGTGAAATTTGTTAAATTATCAGTTGGCCAACTTAATTTATTTGAAACTCTTTCAAGATGATCTCTGTTATCCCATATATACTACATTGTGTTGAAACCTAAAAGATTAGGCATTTATTCAAAGTTTTCACTAATGATATTTTTCACATCATCATATTAATATTCAGATCCACTTAAATAGAATTCATAATTTTCAGGGATTGAATCATTAAATTTAGCATAACTTCCATTCCCAAAAGTAACTGGTGGAACAAAGTCTTTAGTTGTTAAACCCCCAAATGACCATTAAATCATTCCTAATTCCCATAAAGTACATTCATTTTTATTTTAACAAGTTCCTTTTTTTGTTCCTTAAACACCAGTAGAAACTGAATTGATGATAAGTTTCTTGAGTTTATTGATTGTTGATCCTTTCCCTATAAGTTAATTCATTTATTCATCTGATAGAGAAAAGTATAATTATAATTTAGAATCTCCTCCATTAAAATAAGCTCTAACCCATTTAGAGAAACTTGTTTCAGATTTCCATCCATATAGTTCATCATCCCATAATTTAACTTATGTCTCTTAACTAAGATTATTATTCTACATTACTTGATTTTTGCTGGAGTGAATATAGTTTCATAAACTAATTACTAATCACTTGTATAGAAATCATACATGATGTGAGCAAAATAATAATTTATGAAATCTTAAGACAATCCTCTAAAGATCATATTTAGATATCTGGGTAACTTAGCGAAAGCCGGCTAATTTAAACTTTTGTAAAAATATTAGATTGCTGCAATATTCAGATGTGTAATATCACTTGTCTTATCTGATATTTTCTCAAACTTAAATTTAGGCAAGAATTTGATGAATCCTAATGACTATAGATATTATAAATTGAATTACTGAAGGAACATAAGTTCTATTTGACAATTCAGATACATAGGAATATTATGATGATTCATTCGCTGTAGCAAACATGATTCCTGATTGATGAGTAAAAAATTGAAAGTTATTAATTTCCTTTACATCTTTAAAACCAGGAGTAGCACCCCAAGACAATGCATTAGCACTTAATATCGATAAAATATTTACTCTGTCAAAACAGCCTTTTTATGAATTAATGCTTCCTTGTCTTAATCATATTTTGTTAAGAAAATTCCCATAGAAGTGAAGGATAGTATTATTCCCATTGATATGAACCCAAAAATTGCCCAAAAAGTTGCCTTTTCCATATTTAAAATAATATTATTAAATTATGGATACGAAGTATTCATACATAAATACTACTTTTTGATAATATTCTTAAATTCTTATAATAATATTCCATATCATATTGAAGTTAATTATTATTTATTATAGTTCATTTGTCTTATTCTATCTTTTTCTACATATTAAAAAACAATAATAAATATAATTTATCTGTTAATAAAATGAAATTACGATCAATAAGCACAATAGATCATCCAAAAGAATTCTTATTTCCAATTGAACCAGATCTTTCAGCATCAATGACTGTGAAGAATTCTAAGATTTACTAAATCTACTAAAAAAATAAATAAGCTACTCCCAATAGAAATCCTTTATAATCTTAATTCAATTTTACTAATACTTCTAAATTAGAAAATACAACATAAATATCTCCATTTAGATTATATCCAGAGAAGACAGAATTGTTAAATTTATCTTCTAAACGATCTTTGACACCTTCCTCAAATCCTCAACAAATTAAAATAAAAGGACTTCCTGAAAAATTTAATGAAATTTAACTTAAAAGATGTTTGAGACAATAAGGAGTAGGAATGGTTTATTGTAGATAAAATTACAATAAAATTAATAATAAAGGTGATGGAACAGGAGAGATTATGCTTGAAGATATAAAAAATCTAAATCATGTTAAAAAGAGACTTAAGACATTTGGATTAGAATTAGAAAATGAAGGAATATAACATGGAGTTAAACATATAATATCTGATAAATATGCAAGAATCTTATAGACTGAAAGAAATAAAACAACCAGAAATCAACATAATTACTTTAGAGCATGATTTTATTATAAAATATATTATAAATTCATCCTCTTCTACTTATAGTTCCATATTATGATTTAGCTCCAACTTATGATTTAGCTCCAATTTATGATTTACCTGCATCTATAACAGATTTATTTAATATTTCTTCTTATTATTATTATACTTAAGGTTTAGTCATATCTTATTAAATTGGTAGTGATGGTTTTAATGGTTTCATTCTAGCTTGAATCAAAAGTTATCTAATTTCATCATGATCCTAAATTGGCATAGAAAACAACAAACTTAAGGCACTTAAAATTGTTATTGGTATAACATATAAATAAGACCTGAACAATAGATGTGTTGGACTACATTCTGATCTAAGATCTACATCAGCCTAATATATTAGAGCTATAAATCATATTCTACATAATTAACCTATTAAACCACTCTAACCTATTATTGTTAACATTAATAAAAATCGAAACAAATTTGGAATTGTTACCTTCTTTGTACAAAACAATCCAATATTTAAAGGTAAACCTATTAAACAACTTATTAATGCTATAAATAGTAAGCCAAATTCAATATTAGATATATCTCTAGAACATAATTGTTATGTAGTATTTGATGTCAATATTAAATATATTGCATAAAATGAATTTGGCAAATTAGTTATTCTAAACGCAAATAAAATTGGAGAAAATAATGTAAATAACACCTATTCATCATTTTATAGTTATACCTCTAGATGGGTTTTCAAATGAAAAAAGAGTATCAATTTCTATGATAATATAACACCTTCACATTCATTTGGTTATGTTGTTACATCTAAATAAGTCTAACCACTCATTATTCCACTCCAACAGATGTTAATTGCATACATCACAAAAAACTCAAGTCTAGTGCATTAAATATATATTTTACCTTGCAAAAGGTTCTTTTAACCATATGAATAAGAGTGATATTAAATTTAAAATTAATAATACTATATCACCTTTGTAACTTAAAGATATTAATTTAATTCCCTCATCTTATAAACAATATTTGACTTACTTGAACAAACTTAATTTGTCTAACTTATTATAATAGGTAACAAATTAGAAAAAACAGTTAAATAGAATTGCATTCTAGCAAACTAAAAGAAAACATTAACTGCTTTTGTTTTTGGAATGTTTATGTCAGTTTCCATTGTTAATATTCAAAATATTTATAATTTATTTATTAAATAAATAACAACTAAAATTTATCATTATGATTGTAGTGATACTTTTTTAATACTTTCAAATATCTCTTTATTTATTTCTATCTAATATTCAAAGATAGTAAAATTGNTGGTTTCATTCTAGCTTGAATCAAAAGTTATCTAATTTCATCATGATCCTAAATTGGCATAGAAAACAACAAACTTAAGGCACTTAAAATTGTTATTGGTATAACATATAAATAAGACCTGAACAATAGATGTGTTGGACTACATTCTGATCTAAGATCTACATCAGCCTAATATATTAGAGCTATAAATCATATTCTACATAATTAACCTATTAAACCACTCTAACCTATTATTGTTAACATTAATAAAAATCGAAACAAATTTGGAATTGTTACCTTCTTTGTACAAAACAATCCAATATTTAAAGGTAAACCTATTAAACAACTTATTAATGCTATAAATAGTAAGCCAAATTCAATATTAGATATATCTCTAGAACATAATTGTTATGTAGTATTTGATGTCAATATTAAATATATTGCATAAAATGAATTTGGCAAATTAGTTATTCTAAACGCAAATAAAATTGGAGAAAATAATGTAAATAACACCTATTCATCATTTTATAGTTATACCTCTAGATGGGTTTTCAAATGAAAAAAGAGTATCAATTTCTATGATAATATAACACCTTCACATTCATTTGGTTATGTTGTTACATCTAAATAAGTCTAACCACTCATTATTCCACTCCAACAGATGTTAATTGCATACATCACAAAAAACTCAAGTCTAGTGCATTAAATATATATTTTACCTTGCAAAAGGTTCTTTTAACCATATGAATAAGAGTGATATTAAATTTAAAATTAATAATACTATATCACCTTTGTAACTTAAAGATATTAATTTAATTCCCTCATCTTATAAACAATATTTGACTTACTTGAACAAACTTAATTTGTCTAACTTATTATAATAGGTAACAAATTAGAAAAAACAGTTAAATAGAATTGCATTCTAGCAAACTAAAAGAAAACATTAACTGCTTTTGTTTTTGGAATGTTTATGTCAGTTTCCATTGTTAATATTCAAAATATTTATAATTTATTTATTAAATAAATAACAACTAAAATTTATCATTATGATTGTAGTGATACTTTTTTAATACTTTCAAATATCTCTTTATTTATTTCTATCTAATATTCAAAGATAGTAAAATTGTACAGCATTTCTTTCTCACTTATTTTTTATAATTAAAAAGTATAAATAGCAAAAATACATATTTAGCAATCGATAATACAATAGATTTAATATTTATTATTACTCATTTTCCTGCTTATTAAAATAAGATCATAATTAATATTAATTTCATAGTGTTACATTAAATTAGTAACCTAAAACTGTTGCTTTTATTTACTTATTCACTTTGGCCTGTAAAAGAATCAGAGATTTAAATCTTTTTTTCATTTAGACTTAAAACTAAACTTATCCAACTATAATTTGTAAATTGATGGTAAATATAACATAACTTTGAGTTTATTTTAAGTAGCCATTTATGTAAATAAATTTACTAATTTATTAATAATATATTTTTATTTATTATTTTGCTATTTTTATTATTATTTTTAAAGATTGACTATTTAATTCTGAAATTCATCCTAATTAAAAGAATCTATATAAAACCCATATCAATTTTTGGTAATTCTTTAATTGATGCTAGATTTATTATGTAATAATTAAAAATATAGTAAAATTTTGTTATCAATTTATTAGGCATATCTACATCTTGATATATTTTGTAAAAATAATAATGTTGAGTAGCTTTGTACTTTTCTATTTTTATAAACATGTCTAAATAATTTAGAATAGAATAATGAATGAGAATAAGGATTAATTTTCAATAAATCTGATAAAATCGAAAATCAATCAAAAATCAAAAGTGACTTCATATATTCTGTTTATTTATCATACTGAGATTTCTATAATTAATGGATAGTATTTAAAGTATTTTATTTATTTATTTATTTATTGTAAATGTTCTTTTATAGTAAGATTTGTAATATAAATATATTATTATTAATTTCTATGAGTAAAGCATTGCAATATAATACGATATCAAAAGGAGATTATCTTACTTAAAAGAGTATACCTAATTCAGCTCCAATGTTGAGACCCTAATCTGAATTGGTTAAATAATCTCAAGTTTCACCTCCAGTTCAAGCTCCAACAGATGTTATAGCAAGTTAACCAATATATAAAGAAAAATAAGAAAAACCTTAAAAAGATACTCCATTTGAAAGAAATATATTTCCATAAAGTGAAATTCCTTAATAAATAGTACCTATTAAAAGTAATATTATAAATACTTAACAACTAATTCAAAGTTAATCTAATATTCCCCAATAGTAATAACAATCTAATGTATCAAATTAAAATTAGATTCAAATTTTACAATAACTGAAAGGTTTATAATTAGAAAATTAAGAATTGAGAGCATAATTGATAAATTAAACTAGGGAAATAATGAATGCTGGAGCATTAAAGAATGAAAATTCTGCTCTTAGAGATAGAGCTGATGAATTAAAAGTTATTGCAGATCATGTAAGAGAAGCTGATTCTTAAAACTAAGTTATGAAACGATAAGTCACAGAATTATAAACTTAATTAAGTTAACTTAAAGCATAAAACGGTGAATTATAAAAAGTTGCTGATGAAGTAGAATAAGTCAGAAAAGAAATAGCTACTTATAAAGCTTTTGAAATGTAGTATAAGGAATTATTAAGATAAACTTTATAATTAAAATCAGATCATGATGCATTAAATAAATAATTTAATAAATTGTTGAGTGTTTAAGATGAAAATAAAAGAGTAAGTTAATAATATGATTAATAAGTATCAGAAAATGAATAACTTAAAAAATAATTAGATCAAAAAGAAAAAGATAACTAATTATTACTTAATGATAATATAAGTATGAAATAATTATTAGATTAATTAAACTTTGATCATAAAAGTTTAAGATCTTAATTTGCTAAATTATAATAGTAACATTAATCATAATATGAAGAAGATTAAAAATTGAAAGATAAAATTTCTTAATTAGAATTAGAAATAGTTTAATTAAGATCTAGAAATGATGGATTATAAAAATTTGTTACTGCAGTTGATACTAGAGAATAAGAAATAGGAACTCTTAAATATCATTTAGGAATGTGTGAAAATAATATGAAAATTGTTTAATAAAATTATGATGCTTCTCTTAAGAAACTTGAATTGTAAAGGAAAGATATTGAATAATTACTTACTGACAACAATTTATTGAAAGGATAGTTAGAGCATTTAACTTTATAGAATCGATAATTAAATGAATGTAATTTTTTTTATTCTTATAAAAATAGTACAATGGAAAAATAAGGAACAGGACCATTAAACAAAATAATTAAATGAAGAAAATAAAAGATTGAATAATCTTATACTGGTTAAAAATAATGAATGTAATTAATATAAAAATGATGCATCAAGATTTCATTCTCAATTAATGAATTTGTAGAATACAGAAAATTTAAATAAAAGGATGAATGACTAAATATAATAAATGGATCAAGACATAAAATTTTTAAGGAAGATGAATTAAGATTAATAAATATAAATTAAGCAGCTGGAAGAGTTCAGATATAATACTATTTATAATATAAAGCAACAAGATTTTGGTAGTAAATAAAATCTTTATTGATTGTATATTAATTTAAACATTATATTTAAATTAATATTAAATAAAACATTAAATGAATATATGCTTTATAATTCACCTAATAATATAAACACAGATGAAAAGATAATATTAACCTTTGATTACTTAGATTGATTTCAACTATATTTCATAGGCGATAAATAAATCATCAAGAATTTGATTCATCAAATTATTTCTTTTAGAATACTGATAATTTATTTTAATAATATCAAATTATTGCTGAAATCATGTGAAACTAAATTAATTAGACCTTAAAGTGTTTGAAAAGTTTCCAATATTAGCAATAAATATTAATTTTTAAACCAGCTAACAAAAATACCAATAATTGAAAATAAAGCTTATATTAAGATTCCTTTAAACTTTTATATGCTTTCTATAATGATGCTTTATAATCAAATCTGAATGTTAGAAACACAAATTAGGCAAGTAAAATTACTATTATTAAATGGCTGAAATCAAAACTAAACCTTTGTTGATTGAAAATATTTTTTGGTTCATATTATTTGTTATTTATTCTTTGATATTTTATATTCATTGATTCATTTCATATAGATAAATCTACTTTAATTAAATCCTAGTTATTTTTGTAATTCAATAAATGAATAGGAAATTTAAGAGTAATATAAATTACTCATCAGTTAGAATTTTTATAATTTATAATTCCACTTAATGACTTTTTAAGAATTTTAATTTAGTTTAAAATAAAGTAATTATTAATAATTTTTTCGATAGACTTTTGATCTTGATTATTATCAAAAATCTAATAAAATTTAGGAACTTTATGATTGTTGTTATCATAATTAAAAATTTTGATTTTGTAGTTAAAAAGTGTTAAATGTAATCAAATCAATCCACAAAAATATTGAGAAAATAATTGGATTAATAAATATTTTGATTCTTGATTTAATAATTGATTTGAAGAGTGAATAGAGAATTGGTATTTTAATATTTATATTTATTTATCTTTTTATATTTGATAACACTTATCAAATGAATAATTGAAATTCAATTTTGTTATGTGATTATAATATTAATTTTTTTGAATTTCAAATGTCAGGTATCACTACATATCTATAATAGAGGAATCACAATATTCTGAACATCCAGGTGGGTGGGTTGAATGGTTTTGTCAATTACCATAAAACTAATACTTAACTGAAGTGGATTCCGAATTCATTCAAGATCCAAATAATTATGGTCACCTAATTAAATAATTTAATCTCTTTTAATAAGCTTTATAAATGATATTGTCCTCAGAATAGCCAGATACCTTGGATTTAGAAAATGAAAAGTATTTTATATATATATATTAATAGATTCCTTGAATTATACACAGAAGCCAGTGATATTTATGGATTATTACATTAAGCTTTTATTTAAACACCAAAAGGTTTAGCAATAATGAGAGAGCGATTTTTAAATGGCCGATTTGGTCATTGTCCAAGAGTCCTTTGTGAAAAACAAAATACAATTCCTATTGGTTTAAGTGAAAGTCTTAAAACTAGCAGAATTAAAGTATATTGTCCAAGATGTAAAGAAGCATATGCACCACGTAAAAGTTAAGCTGACTTTGATGGAGCATATTTTGGTCGCAGTTTCCCTATGTTGCTCTTATTGGTATTAATATTCATATTATCATTAGACATATCCAGATATCCATCCTAAATATACTATTTAATTAGGCACTGAGTTATTTACACCTTTCTAACCAACTCTTTTTGGATTCAAAGTAAGAGATGAAAGTTAGATCTAATAAACTTCTCCATAGTTATAATAATCATAATTATAATCTTAGTAATAATAATAAATTATTACTGAACAAACTAACGGAATTATTGAAAAAGAAAACCATCATCAATAAGAAAAATAAAATGCTGAATAAGAATCTAAACAATCAAAAAAGAAAAAGAAAAATAAAAATAAATGAATATTTGAATTTATTTCATTATAGATATAATTATTTTGATATATTCTTTATTTAAAAATTATTATCATTATTATAAACAAAATATACTCTGTATTTTATATGCATTTATTTTTCACTTTGTAACACAATTAATATTTTTTAGAAAATAAAATGATCTTTATTTTCAATTAATTAATTATTAGAATATTTGATATATATTAATAGTTAAGATACAAGATAGGATGACATTAAGTAAAAATGTAAAAATAAAATAAAATTTATAATAATTTCGAAATAATGGATGATATACATAATTATCAAGGTTTATCTCCTAATTTGTTATTTGCCAATTTATCCCAACACTTAAATATATATAGATGAATAAATTACATGGTAATAGTCATGATCAAGATTTACTTAATCATCCATAACAAATGAGCATGTCTTAAACATGTATGTGCTTTCAAACATAAATGCCAAATTTTCATAAGGATATCTAATAGGCTAAAGAATAAATTAGATGATATACTTGTAAGTCAATATTGGACCATTTAGTAAATGATTCATGATCAGGTCCATGCCCTTATAAAATACTATGTAATGAACCATATCCTGGTTAGAAGCCCTCTTCTTTGGCATCATATGCACCAGAAATATTTCCCATATATTCACTCATTACATTTCTATGGTAATAAGGTGGTCTAAAAGTATGTTCAGCAACCATCCATCTTGGTGGAAATATAGCAAAATCACAAACTGCAACTCTTTGATAAATATATAAATTAATACCCTGGCTCATCAGTTTAACATGTTATTACTGTAAATATAGATGGATCAGGATGATCATATGTAACAGTTCCCATTGCATTAAAAAGATCTAAATTATATTTATAAGGATAATAGTTTCCATGCCATCCTACGACATCATAAGGAGATCCTTTCTTTGTACATTTGTAGAATTTTCCTAGATATTTATTGATAATTTAGAATTCTTCTTCAGTATTTTCATAAAATGCAACAGGAACCAAGAAATCTCTAGGGTTTGCTAAACCATTAGCTCCAATAGGTCCCAAATCTGGGATTTTAAAATGACCTTTGAATACTTCACATATATATCCTCTAATTGGCTTAGTCATTTCTACACTAAACTTAATTCCTCGAGGAATGACACATATTTCTCTTGGTTTCACAGTCAATTTACCCATTTCTGTTGTAATTAACATTTCTCCTTCCCAAGGTACTAATTTAAATATATTTATATACCTATAAGGAAATCTCCATCGCTATTAAACATACTAGAGTTAGTCATACTCTTATTGGCAGCGTATAAATAAATGGCAATTCCTTATTTAATAGATGGATCACCTGCTCCACAAACAGTAACTAAACCTTCTGCAAATGTTGTAGGTTTTTCAGGTAATGGTAATCGTTTCCATCTAATAATTATAAATTTGATATTTACCTTAATTGATTAGGAGTGATGGTTAATCCATGATCATTCATAAAATCGTTTTTTACATATTTTCCAAATTCTGGAGCATCTACAAACGGACTATGAGCAGCACTTGGTCTAATTTTATATAGCCAAGTCTTTTGATTACTAGCTCTAGGCAAAGTAAAGGCTGTGCCCGAAAATTATTCAGCTATCAAATTGTAAGCACATTTTTGAGGACTATTCTATCCTTTTGGGACTGCTCCCTTTAATGCTTCGGTTTCTACATGATTACCAAATCCAATGGCATATTCCAAGTTTTCATAATTACGCTGTGTATCCATTATAAGATATTTAATTAAATTTATAAAACAATTACGTATTATCAATTTGCTTATATTTCACATGACATACTATTTTTAGTATTTTTATTTAATTATCTCTCTCATCATTATTCTTTTTACAACTCCTAATTTATTATAACAAATCAATTTAATTCATTACTAATCCTCTTGCTTTATTAGAATTTTTTATGATTTATTTATATGCAAAAAATATATAAATATAAAATAATTTACTTCATTTTGTTTAAATGCTTTATAATTGATTTTAAGAGTTAATTAAAAATTACCTGTAAGTATACTTTAAATTATTACTTTATAGATTTACAAATCTTTCTTATATCTTATCCTTATACTATTTTGAATGTCTCTTATCTTTTAGATAGAGTTAAAACAAAATGCTAATCATCTTTCATTTACAAATCTGTTATTTCATTAGCCTTATAAATGAATCTTTTTGCTGTTGTTTCTAACTCTAATATATACTCATTATAAATATTTTGTCTAAGTATAAAAACACAATTAATCTCAAGCAATTGATTCTTCAAAATTAATCTATGTTACAAGAATTTCCCTCTTATTTCTTCCAACTCAAATATGTTTAATTTTTATTGCTCAATTATATTTTCTAAATTCTGCATTTCAGCCTCCTTCTACAATAGTATTGATTCAAGATTCTATATTTTTATTTTCAAATCTGTATTTATTTATGATTAATCTATTATTTTGTTATATAAATCTTCTTCAATATCTTAAATGTTTTTTTTTAATTGCTTATTCAACAGATTAGCTTCTTCTAACTCTTTACTAAGTTTACCCATTATAACTTCTTTATTCATTAATTCTTTTTGTAAATTGTTTTATTCATTTTATAAAATACTTTATTAAGCTTAAAAATTATTTTACATAATTTTTATTTCTCTAATATATACCAAATTATTTACTATTGTAATTGTTTATTTAATTTTATCATATTTTGTAATTACTAATCTGTTGTTCCCTCCACTCCATCATTTTGTGTATAAAAATTGCTTGAAGATTTTATTCTAACAGGAGTTGTTTCTATATTTCCTTCCAAAATAGATATTCTTTATTTTTATTCTTCAACTAATTCAATTAATGATTATTCCTAATCAATTTCAGAATATTTTTACATTTTATTATTTTTCTTTAAGTACCTTATTTAATTCAATTGATAAAGATTAATTGGAAATTTCTAATTATTCTTTTTGTACTCTTAACTCAAGCACTGCCTTTTTTAATACTTGAATCTTAGTTTTATCACTTACATTATTACAAGAATCAGAAACACAATCTGATTTTTGAGATTTGAGCATTTTATATATTTTATATTTATAATAATTCAACAATAACATCCTGCAATATAAATGTCTAAAGATGATACTGTCTTACAAACGCAATTTCTATCTGCACATTCTTCTCTACCTATTTAAATTAAATATTCTGAAATGCATTCCTAAGAAGCATAAGATTTAGGAGTGCTACAATAATCATTTCCTAATTTTGTTGGTTCCTTACAAGTTTATGGACATGTGATATCGTTGTGACACTAAACTGAATTTAAACACATGTTATTTAAAGAGCAAAGAGCCAACTTTTATACAGCTAATGAATTTGAACTGAATAGACATGCTTCAAGGCAATTCTCTTATCCAGATGAACATTCTAAAACTTTTAATAAACTATATACTTTCTTCACATGTTTTTAAAGTTCCCTGACAAGCATTATCATTTTAGCAACTTTGATAAGGAATAGCACAAACAGCCTTTGAACATGCATGATAATACTTAAAGTTATTGGCAACAACATATGCTGTCATCAATGACAAAATTATTAACTTATTCATTTCAATTTTATTATATAATTATATTTAATAATGAAAATAATTGCATATCAAGTAGTATTAATATTAGAGAATTAGAGTTTATTTTTATAAATATAGCATATTCTAAGATTGAACTGAATTTAACATAAAATAGTTCTAAATTTTTAATAAAAAATCTGAAAGTATTTGATAATTGACATTTTATAACCAAATTGTATATATAAAACAAATATACGATACATTTTTATAATGTCTATGTTATGATTAATAAGTAAAAGAAAAAAATATTAAGAAATAGATCATAATTAAAAAGGTTTAAAAATAAGAAATTAGAACTAAATAAAGTTTATTTTATATCAAATATAAATTTATCAAATAAGAATGGACCCCAAATCGACAGCATTCCATCTTTACAAGTAAACATTGATTAGAAAGAATACAAAGCCTATAGGCCAAATATATAGTTATGAATAAAAAGATGTAATTATTTAGTTTTAATCTATGTAGAAAATTGGACAAGGTGCTTATGGTAGCGTATACAAGGCGATTCATAAAGTAAGTAAATAAGTGAGAGCTGTAAAAGTAATCAATAAACTTAATATCAAATACAAAGAAAGACTATTAAGCGAGATAACTATTATGGAGTTATTAGTAAATATATATGATATCATTTAGGATCATCCTAGTATATTAAGATTGTATGAAACATTTGAAGATGCAGAATACTTATACATGGTTTTGGAGTATATATGTATTTAAAATAAAGAATTTGCCAAGGAGGAGATGTGTTTGATAAGGTTCTAGAAAAGGGATGTCTACCAGTAGAAGATGCTTTTAAAATATATATTTAATATATGCGAGCTGTTAACTATTATTAAGGTTTTAAAATTGTTCACAGGTAATATAGACCATAATTAAATAGAGATTTAAAACCAGAAAATTTTTTATTTTAGAAAAAAAATGATTTATCATCCTTAACTTTAATTGATTTTGGAATTGCAAAAAGATGTGTTGATAAATTAAAAACAAAAAGTGGCACAGTAAAATTATTAATAGAAAATAGGCATACTATGTTGCTCCTGAAGTTTTAGATGGATTGTATGATCATAAATGTGATGTCTGGTCTGCTGGTGTTGTTCTTTATGTAATTTTATGCGGTTACCCTCCTTTTTATGGTGAAAATGAAAAGGAAATACTTACAGAGATTAAAACAGGTACATTATAATTTGATGGTATAAATAAATTAATATAAAATAGGCGATGAATGGTAAGGAATATCATAAGAAATAAAAGATTTCATTAAATCTTAAGTCTGTCCAGCTGATAAGAGACTTTTACCAAAGGAATTATTAAACCATAAAGTTATTACTCAATACAATTAAAAATTTGTCTAAGATAATAAATTATTATCTATGCTAACACTAAATTAATGGGTCAAATATCATCCTATAAGAAGACTAGCTCTCTTTTATTTAGCAACACAACTAGATTCAAGTGAGTTAGTGAATTAGAAAAATTGTTTTTTCTTCATAAATACTTCTCAAACTGGATTAATTACTTAATAAGAATTATCAACTTATTTAAAGGTTAATAAGTAAGATGTTCAAAAATTATGGCCTTATATTGATTGTAATAGTAATGGCTTCTTAGATTTTTTTGAATTTGTAGCATTAACACTCACATAGTAAGAATTTTAAAAGTAATTACAATTTATGTTCGATTTCTTAAGTTAGTAAGATAAGGTTATTTCATAAAAGACTATCAAATATATTTTCGATTAAAATGCTAACTTTAATAATAAATGGGATAGTATCTCAGATACAAAAAATCATTTGGCTCTTGTCAATCAACATGAATAATAAATCAATATCAAAAATATCTTAGAGAAAGATATGGATTTTAATGCCTTTAAAGCTTTAATGTAATGAAATAATCATTCATATTTTAATATAAACATGTATTATTATTTAGATAAGGTATTATTGATGTGATTTGATAAGATTTATCCAATACTATTAATTATTCTCTTATCTATAAGATAGGTGTTTTATTTTGTTGGTAGTTTATGTGTTGATATTTTAATTTTAATTACATTTTCTTATTCTAATCAAAATATCTTAATATAATCAAGATTGAATCATAATCATTTTCAAACTTCAAAATATTTTTAATTAACAAATATATATAAAAATTTTTTAAAAAATCAACTATATGTTAGCGTTATAGAAATTAGACAGTTGGATTAATTTTCATTATCAATTCTCGCTAATTATTTATTTTAAACTTTTTCTAAATCATTTTAGAACCTATCACTATATNATTATAATTTGATGGTATAAATAAATTAATATAAAATAGGCGATGAATGGTAAGGAATATCATAAGAAATAAAAGATTTCATTAAATCTTAAGTCTGTCCAGCTGATAAGAGACTTTTACCAAAGGAATTATTAAACCATAAAGTTATTACTCAATACAATTAAAAATTTGTCTAAGATAATAAATTATTATCTATGCTAACACTAAATTAATGGGTCAAATATCATCCTATAAGAAGACTAGCTCTCTTTTATTTAGCAACACAACTAGATTCAAGTGAGTTAGTGAATTAGAAAAATTGTTTTTTCTTCATAAATACTTCTCAAACTGGATTAATTACTTAATAAGAATTATCAACTTATTTAAAGGTTAATAAGTAAGATGTTCAAAAATTATGGCCTTATATTGATTGTAATAGTAATGGCTTCTTAGATTTTTTTGAATTTGTAGCATTAACACTCACATAGTAAGAATTTTAAAAGTAATTACAATTTATGTTCGATTTCTTAAGTTAGTAAGATAAGGTTATTTCATAAAAGACTATCAAATATATTTTCGATTAAAATGCTAACTTTAATAATAAATGGGATAGTATCTCAGATACAAAAAATCATTTGGCTCTTGTCAATCAACATGAATAATAAATCAATATCAAAAATATCTTAGAGAAAGATATGGATTTTAATGCCTTTAAAGCTTTAATGTAATGAAATAATCATTCATATTTTAATATAAACATGTATTATTATTTAGATAAGGTATTATTGATGTGATTTGATAAGATTTATCCAATACTATTAATTATTCTCTTATCTATAAGATAGGTGTTTTATTTTGTTGGTAGTTTATGTGTTGATATTTTAATTTTAATTACATTTTCTTATTCTAATCAAAATATCTTAATATAATCAAGATTGAATCATAATCATTTTCAAACTTCAAAATATTTTTAATTAACAAATATATATAAAAATTTTTTAAAAAATCAACTATATGTTAGCGTTATAGAAATTAGACAGTTGGATTAATTTTCATTATCAATTCTCGCTAATTATTTATTTTAAACTTTTTCTAAATCATTTTAGAACCTATCACTATATAATTGATATCATTTTAACTATTCCTTAAGGGTAGGCATAAAATTCCGTATGAAGCCTTTTTTTAAATATTTCAAAATATAAATAAATTATTGATTTAGTCATTATGAGCATTCAAAAGATTGACTAACAATGGATCATATAAAATAAAATTATCTTATTATTATTGAAATGAGAAAAAGTTCATTTCCAGATTTGAACGAATCTGAAAAAAGCGAAAGAAGCTAATCTACTTCATCTGAATATAAAGTTGAATTAAGAAAATAAAGAGGATGTCAAACAGCAAATGCTGATGCTAAACGTTACCATAAAATTCCTTTAAAAACGTAAATTTAGTTATTTTAGATGGTATTTGTAAACGGAAAGCGAATAAAATAAGTATCAGAGTATATCTAGTATTTAGGTTGCCAAGTCTTTAGGTATGAACTACTCAAGTGCAAAATCATTGATTCATTATTATAAAAATAATAAAAGACCTATCCCAACAGCAATATCTAGTATATTAAATTAAAAAAAGCATTGTGGGATCAGGAAGACAAAAAATGGAAGCGAGAATATGTTTGTTGTCGTTAAAGTTCAAAAAAACACTATAAAAAAATACAATTTTTATTAATTACTAAAAAAGTAACAAAACATCTAAAATAATTGAAGAATAAAACTATGATTCCAATTATAGATTTTATTAATTAAAAATATTTTTCCATTTCTAATCATCATAAAATAATGTTTAAAAGCACCTAATATTCTTATTATTTATGCAATCCTTTAGACAAGTTGTCCTTTGATTGCTTATTAGATTTATACAAGTTAATGCTAATTTTTCGATGATTCATGAATAACGCTTTTCGTTAAAAGAAAAAATATTATTTTATGATTATATATAAAAAAAATTAAATCTTCAATTAAATTTAAAACAAATGTATGTGACAAAATGAAAAAAAATCTTAATACCCCTTTCTTAACCACCTATAATAGTGTTTTAACTGAAATTTTAAAATGTCCAAAGTTAATTTATTTTAACTAATATAACTATAATTGTTGTAAATAATAACATAAATTGATATTAATTATTTTTGTTATTTTAAAATTGCTTTCTTAAAACTTTCTCTCACATGTAAAACACAGATTAAGAATCTTCTATTAATAATTCAATTGTAAAAGAACCAGCAAATCAAAATTCTGTTATAAAAAAAAAACATATAAAAAAGTCATCAAGACGTATCCACAAAATACCAATAAAAACTTAATAATAGTTGTTCGTTTAAATTTTTTAAGAGGGTAAATAAATCAAAGAAGTAAAAAAAGTTAATTATCACATTAGGTTGCTCAAGATTTAAAATTAAACTATTCGAGTGCTAAATCCTTAATACATTATTATAAAAATAATAAAAGACCTATTCCTGTTTAAGTAGCTGATGTTTTAAATGGAAAGAGGCCATGCCCTTACAAAAGCATCTAAAATTGCTAGAATACATAGAATTAGCTAAAAATAGAAGTTTGGCTAAAGCATTAATTTATCAAAGCTTATAGCTTTTTTGAAACATTAAACAAGCAAGAATTAAGTTTTGCAAATTAATTTCTTTCATGAAATTCAATAATTCTATGATTCCTTTTTTAATTATTTCCATCTTTTAGTTTTGTAAATTGTTCTTTAACTATAAAACTAAAACCTTTCTATTAATTATTAAACAAATTCTATTATTTTATTAAAAAAAATCAAGTATATATATAAAATGTATATGAATATCATAAAGAATTCATAGTACCTCATTTCTACTATTTTTAGTACCAATTATAGAACATGAAAGAATTTGTTTAGATTTTGTATTATATTTATTAAATGGTTCTAATCAAATGGCAGAGCTTGTTAGAATATAAGTTTGGAGTTCTTAACAATCTAATTCTTATCATAAACAAAAATCCAATAAAAGATTACTCTTCAACTCTTCTTTCAATTATATAAAGAATATATTAATAATTATATTGATTGTATTTCATATTTAAATAATTTGAAACAAAAATCTTTGTCATCTTGATTTGTAAAACAAAATTAAAGAACTATTTATAAAAAATAATTATTTTACTTTATATTTGAAATATAAATTTATTTGTCATATTATGTTTCCTTTCTAGTACTCAAAGAATGCATAAAATAATACATAAATAAAAAAAATAATTTTATAAAATAAAATACGAGAGAAATAATATTAATTTTTATTAATATAAAATTCAGTCAAGAAAAAATAGGTTTTATAAATTAATTATGTCGAAAAAAAATAAAGATGGAACAAAAAATATATAAATTTTTACTTGCATAATGGAGTAAGAATGTGATATTGATTAAAGTGAAGTTTGAAAAGATTTCTAATGTGAATTAAATACAATAATTGAAATATTTATTATTACTTATATCAACTTTAATCATATTAGGTTTTCGTTGTCTTCATAGTTTTCCTAAAAGGCTACATGCTTTTTAGTAAATTCACCTAAAGAAAATTGAAATTTAATTGTAAATTATATAGTTTCAGGTTTGGATCAAAATTAAACAAATTCTTTAATCAGGTAGAAAGATGGATAAATACTAGTAAAAGTTAAAAATAACAAGGATGGAAGATTATAGAAACTTTAAAAGATAAAGATAATTATTACATTTGTTTTTAGAGTAAAGATAAGAACCACAAAAGGGTGATTAATGACTTTGATATTAAAAGAGTGGATAAAGAAATAGGCATAATTTAAGTCATTTGAACATATGTCAAAAGAATTACAAGAAAAATAAAAAACTTTTAAAGCATTTATATAAATCAAAATTAAATATCAGACAGAGAGAATGCTCATACAATGATATTAGATTAAACTGAGAAATGAGTTTAATGGTGTGTTATTATTAAAGTTGGAATACTAATAGTAATCAGTTTATCTTAAATCTAAATTGTTTAGAATTATCTCAAAGACAAAGATTAAAGTGAATAAGTGTGATAAATTATAGTATATAGAAAAACATAGTTTTTAAATATTATAATAAAATTTATATATATAATTGTAGTTTTAAGATGATCATAAAAAGGAGTCTATGAAACATTCATAATCCAATGGATTAAGTGCTGTACTATTATAATCTACATATGGATTTGGAGATCCAATTTTAGATTCTTAGAACTCATATTCTTTGATTTATTTATATTCCCCCAAAAATTTATTAGTTTGTGTTTCACTTTTATCTAAAGTTATTATAAGTAATGATACTTTCTTATCTTAACTCTTCATTAATTGCATGTAACATTTAGCCTACTTATTTAAATTTGACTTCAATGTCGACACTTTAATTGTAAACAAACTGATAATATACAATATTTAATACATGATTTAAGTTCTGCATCTAATCTATCAAATAAGAAGAAGTTTCTTGTAATAATTTCATATCTTCTTTTAACTTATTGTTTGTCTCTTTAATATCGATGGCACATTCTTTAAATAAGTTCTATTCTTCCTTAATTTAAATTGCTATTGAGATAGCAAAATATTAAATACTTGGTTCTTCTTATATAGCAGGATTAACAAGATCTTCTTGATTTCTCCTTTTAATAAATTATAACATCGATCTTTAAAAATTAAGAAAAAAGAAATACTTCATCCCTTTTCTAAAACATTTATGCTTAAAAATTTATCCTTCAGTTGATCTAACTTTCTTGAAATTATATAGGTTTAACTGTCTAAAAACTATAATATTAAATGGATTACCTGACAAAACTTGAATAATTACTATGCTTAAAGAAATTTTATAAGACTTATTTTTCCATTTCCTATTGATTATGCACTATAAATGAGGTTCCTTAAGCAGTCCAACTCACTATGTTTGCATGCTTTTGTTCCTAAAAGTTATTCAAAACCAATTACTTCAAGCATTTAATAGGTTTTTAGTATGAAAGTTGGAATAGGAGTTCTAGAGCTCATTAATTGTATTAAATATATTATATTTTTAAGTTAAAATGAATTAAGGGATATTTAAATCATATCAATTTGATAAAATCTATATTAATCACCAGAAATAAATATCTCCCTTATGATTAGGATATTTGATTATTATATTTTATTTTTTATAAATTAATGAAACATTTACTCCTATTTATACTCATCCTATACATTTTATTTTTTGTAGCTGTTGAAAGTAATAATAACTAAATTAATTTTATGTTTAAGCATAGGAATAAGCAAAACCAAAGAAATAAAAAAAGAATAAAAGTATTAGTGAAATGAAAACACCAATAACTGTCAGCGGAAGAGCTTGGGCAAGAAAAAATTGTATGTTTGGTGAAATATTGAGTAAAGGAGGAATAGAAGTAATATAAAATCTAAGAAGTAGGCTAAAAATTTAAAAACGAAAAAATTGGAAGCATAAGTTTTGAAAACTAAATTACTAAAAGTTGGAACATTAAAATCAAAAAAAGAAGGAAGACCACTAGTTATCAATGGTTCAATATCTGTTTATAAAATGAAAACTTAAGAGAAAAAATAGAAAGTGTTATTATAAGAAAGTTTATAAAATTACTATTCTAGTTTAGTGGGAATTGCTGCATCATTTAGACTTTAATGATTAATCAAATAGTAAATGTGAAAACTTAAGAGATGGACATTTTTTTGGAGGATATTGTGAGAATACAAATCAAACATTAAGCAAAAAGTTTAATAGTTTACCATAACATACTCAAATAAAAGTTGAATTAGCATTACACGTATTTGATTAATGGGAATAAGAATAAATTATTATGAGAGCAGATGAATAAATTAGTATTTTTAAATTATAAAGTCTTAGTTTGGAAGAATAAATTTGAAAATACAGTTCATCATAATAATTTTTGTGGAAGTTCGAGATTTGGAGATTAAATTAACATGTATTACTATTATAATATATAGATAGTCCTATAATGAAAATATTTGATCATTCTCATAATGAATTAAATTTGTAATTTTAAGGTTTGACATCAAAAAGTACGTGTGAAGCAAGTTTCGGAATTGATAATTTAGTTATTTATTATAGATGAATGCTGATTTATTATTAATTTTAAATTCAAAATGTCTTAAAGCAGTAAATGTTTCATTTTCATTACCAATAGATATCTCTGTAAATGAGAATGGATGGATAAAATGGTATTGCAATTTGGAAGACCATCACTTTTTTTGTGAAATTGATGAATTTTTTATAGCAGACTAATTTAATTTGTATGGATTGAAATAATTGTTTGATCATTTTGAGTAAAATTAATATATAAATAATTAGAGAAGCCTTATAAATGATTCTATCTCCAAATACACCAACAGATGAAGATTTAGAGGATGATTAGTATTAAATGAAAAAATATAATTAAGATTTTTAGAACTCTATAATGAAGCATCAGAATTATATGGTTTATTGCATGCTAGATTTATTATTACTCCTTAAGGTTTAACTTTAATGAAATCCAAATATTTATAAGGAAGATTTGGTGTATGTCCTAGAGTCTTATGTGAAAGATAAAATGTATTACCAATAGGATTAAGTCATGATTTAAGAACTTCTCGAGTTAAAGTAAAATCTATTGTATATTATTCTAGATATTTTGTCCAAGATGTTAGGATGTATATTCTCCAAAAAAATAAATGAGTGATGTTGATGGTTCTTTTTTTGGTTCTGTTTTCCCTCATATATTTTTATCTGTATTTTCGGAATTACACCCAACATAACCAGCAAATGAATATGTGTCAAAAATCTTTGGATTTAAAGTTCATAAAAAAAAAGGTTCAAAATTTTAAATTCAATAAAATTAAACTGAAATGTATTATTATGCTGAGGATCATATCAAACGACTTGCATAAGTACAAACTTCATAATAATAATAATCTTAACAATAATAATCTCAGAAAAATGATGAGGAAGCAGAAAAAAAGTAAAAAGAAGCTTTAAATGCTATATAAAAGTTATCAAAATAAAAGCAAAAAAAATGATTTTAATATACTTAATTATTTTCATTGTCCTCTCATTATTATTCTAAAGCTGCTGATTCTATTTCTGCATATGGGACATTTGGAACTTCGCTCTTTCAAACCTTAACAACAAGTCTAACATAAACTCATATGTTTGCATGGTAATATCAATGTATTTACTTTATTACTCAAACAAATAACACAATCTTTATCTTAATCTTTTTATCCACCATAGACATCTCTAACACTAAAGGCTTTACCATTCTTTTGCATTTTAATCTCTAATGTTTATAATGATATTTCGTTTTAATTCAACTTGAAAAAACAGTATTAAAATAATGATTTTTCTTTGGTTTCCTATATCAAATTTGCATTTATACCATTTCTATGATCAAAGGGTATTATCTTTTTGCTTAATCTATATATTCTAAGTCTTCAAGTTTTATTTATCTGATATCAAACTAAAATTTATCGAACTTTTATGCTGAAACAGGTTCAAATTGGTAAGTGCTTTATATAAAAGCATTTATTTTTTAGGTTATAAATTCATTATTAATGATTTCAACAGCTAAAAAATAAATTTTAAGTGTCATTGACTCTAAACATTCGAAAACAAATTCTATTTAATAAGTACTAGCATCAATTTATGTCTTAGATTTTATTTTCTATAAATACCAGTTTAAAGGAATCTTTTTTTATGTAAGTATTGTTTAATTTTGGAATAACTTTTTTGACTTCGACATTATGTTTAAATCTAGCTGGATGTTAATCTTAATTTTATAGATATTATGGAAAATCTTGAACTATTTATTAGGGATTATTTTGATATAAATCTCTAAGTACTTATTAATAATTAGGATCATTGGTTAAATGTTATACGCTCTAGTGATTAGCTGTATTATTATTATTTTGATTATTACCCATATTTATTATAATATATATTACATACATATATGATATCAATCAATAAATTTTTAACATTCTTAAATTTTATCTAATTAATGTTTAATATTACAGAACCATATTAAATTACCTAAAAATTGATCATCTATTTTTTCACCTTATTTCAAACAATCTAAACTTTTAAAAATATTATCACTTATAGAATAATGCCAATCAGATTTAATTCTAGTATTAATATTTTAATCAAAATTCTAATAGTGATATTCAACTTTTATATTATCTTGAATATCTAATTTTTAAGATAAAAAAGGTTAGTATCCATCATTATATTATTCATCATCTTTTTTTTATTCAGTTTTGATTCTTTTTTTTGTTTTTCTTTAAGTATATTCCAGTTTGATATTATCATAATTTGGAAAATTTTTCTTTAATTTCTCGAAGAATTAAAAAAGCTTTTTATTTGCTTAAAAAATGAATTCTTCTACTTTAGTTTCATCTACTGACCATGTTGATTCATCATTCCTTTTAAAAACTACTGCAGACAAACATCCTTTAACAGTACGAATTGCCAATCCTGTAAAATTTTTTCCATTTTATTTTCTTAAAAATGGAAGGTATGGTTCTGTAACACTTATTAAATTACTTAAAGTTGCATTTCCATCTGATAATTGAATTGCTTTAATTAAATGGCCTGTCAATGACATTTAATACAATTCTTCTTTTTCAATAATTTCTTACCATCTATCAATGCTAAAAGCTTTAGCTTACTTAATAATTTAAATAAAATCTAATACTTGCTTAATAATTTCTGAATAATATTTACGTTCATCTTAACGAGGCTAATTTAATCTAATATTGATAAATTAACTTAATAATAAAGGCATGCTCTATTTAAAATACTTATGTTAATGATCACATTGATCTGCCTGCTTTATTATTTTATTAATATACTTCTACTTTAGTTTTTTAATCCATAAGCTCTGTTTATATAATTACCCCCTTTTATATATTAAAATAACGGGGGATAATTTATTCACTTTAATAGCGATCTCTTATAATTGTATTAAATAATTTATATATCAAAACATGGAATCTATAATTTTATCAATTTTATTTGGTTCTGGCAATGGATATGCTTTTAATTGCTAAGATTCCTTAATTTTATTAATAAGCTTAGATAATTAAAATTAGTTTTACTTCATTTTAAATTAAACGTGTAGATTTTATTCCACATACTAATTATTGATTTGTTAAAGCATTGAATAATTCCATTTAATGATTATTCATTAATGAATCATTATTTACTACAATAATCTTTTTTTTGAGTTTTAAGCATTCTAAAATTGTGCCAGCTCCACAATGACAAATAATTAAATCTGCTTTTTAGTAATCTTCACTTAAAGAGGATTTGAATCTAAAAAATTCAGTTTTAGGTTCATAATTGCCACTATAAAATATTAATAATCTGAATTATTTACCTTCCTATTTGACAAACTACTTTATTATAGCCCATCAATTTTAATTAATTTTAAGTTTCCTCATTATCAATTGCTGTTATTAATTCATCAAAGTTGGTGCTACCAACTGTGACAAATATTGATTATTATTTCATTTAAATATAATTATGAAATAAGTAAGTAATATAATTAATCTTATTATAATTCATGTCTTTTCACTCTAATATAGAAGATTATGATTCTAATCCTTAGATCTTAGCTTCACCTAAAGGACCTTAAATTTCATTAAAAAATACAATTGGAATTAATAAACCTGATTCATAAGTTTGTTCCCTCTATTCAGAAGGAAATGAAGCAATAGATAGCAATCTTAAGAAAAGCGAATAATAATAATCAATAATTTAAAATTCTGATACATAACTAGGTCTTAATAAAACTAGAAATTAGTTAACTCCTTTACAAAAATTACATCAGTTGGCTGCTAAAAATAAACTTGTTAAGCTTTTTGCATAGAATCTTTTTATGAAATCTTACATTTTATCAAGGGATTACTAGTAAAATAATATTATCAACATTTAGCGACAAAATATTGAAATTCGAATAATTCCTTTCGAATAAAAATCTTGATAATTATCAGGATAAATCTTAACTTTCAATAATCCCTGTATTTGATGCTTTTAGCACTTAGATGAAAATATGGGATATTTTAATGATAATCCAATATTTATTATAGTTGTGGTTCTTGCCCTTCAGTATAAGCTTTTATAGATCAAATTATAATATCATTTTTTTAAAAGAGATTTTGTCAATAATAACATTACTCAATATTGCAATCACTTTAAATAGATAGATTTTTCATAAAGGAGAGTATATTGTAAATAGATAGAAGATTTTACGATAATATATAAAATCAAGTTTGATGGGAGATTTTATATAATTTATAACTTGGATAAGTCTCATATTTTTAAATTAAAAACTAGAAGATTAAATCTACATGATTATATTGGGGATTTTTTTAGTTTTTTCTTGTATATATGCTCTTTTGAGAAAAACAGAATATTACATTGATAGTTATTATAATAAAGGCAATCTTAGTAATTTTTTAGATTTATTTATTCTTATTATTTAAATATATTATGTAGCACATTATATGGCATGTATTTGGCATTTAGTAGGAGATATTGGTGTTTATTTTGAAGAATCTACTTGGTTGACAGAATATGGTTTCATAAATGAATCTATAAGTGTAAAATATAATTATTCTTTTTATTGGGCAACTATGACTATGGTGACTGTAGGGTATGGTGATATAACAGCTAGAAATAAATATGAAATATTAACATCAAATATTATGATGATTTTTTCAAGTTGTATATTTGCCTATTCCATGAATTCAATAGGAATTATATTGAAAAGTATTAATGATAGTAAATTAAACTATAGGTAAATGTTTATTAATAACAATAGGAGAACCATGACATGTATAAACAATTATATGTAGTAAAATTAAGTAGATTTAGCAATTTCAGAAAAAGTTAGAAATTATATTAAATATTTACATCAAAGAGAATAAGATTCTTTTGAAGATTCAGAAAATTCTCTTAAATATCTACCAAAAGGATTAAAAGCTGAAATGAAAAGAGATATTGCATAAAAATTAATCTAAAAAATAAAGATACTTTAATCAAATTTTTCTCATTCTACACTGAATGCATTAATCCATCATTTAAAAATTTAAAATTACGCTCCAGGTGAATATATTTATCATCAAAATGAATAATAACATTTTCTTTGCTATATTAATTCTGGATAGGTATAAATTAATGAAGAATAATCATAAACTTAAATTCAAATTCTTAAATAAAATAGCACATTTAATGAATACTCTTTTTTTACAGAATAATAAACAAAAACAAATGCTTAAAGTTTAGGATTTACTTAAATTATTAAAATTAACAGAAAAACTTTTTTAAAAATATTGAAAGATTGCTAAAAAGACTTAGAATAATTTTATCATATAAAAGATACGATATTATTATATAATGATTTTTCACACTTTTAAAAAAAATGTTACTTTTGTGGTTTCACTAAGCATGAGAGCATAGATTGTCCTCTCATAACATATTAACCTAATAAGTTAAAATGTATTAAAAAGCTGTATAAAACATCTTAAAATTAAGAGAGAAAATTTATAAAAAGACATGATCACTATATTCCATCTAGAACAAGATTTGTTGAAATAAAAAATACAATATCATATGCAAGAGAATACTATTTTTCAGATTAAATTTCTAGCGAAAAGACTATTGATTAGAAGCCAAGAAAATTAAATAAGGATAATCCAATAGCTGACTCTCCAAATAATGAATTATTATCACTTGAAAAAAATATCAAAGAAGATATTGTTCATATTCCTGATAAGGTTTCTAAAATTCGGATAGGAAGTATATCAGTTGAAGGAAATAATATGGCAATTAAAAGAGCAAGCAAACTTTAAAATATTTAATTAGTTAATGCTGAGTATTAAAGTTATGCATAAAATTAATTGGACTAGTTTCTTTAATTTGAAAATGATCTTAAAATAGATTCATATTTTAACTATCAAAAATATATGAGACATAATAATCTGATTCATATTTTATAAACTTTGAGGAAATTTAAACGAAAAACTAGAATTAGTTAAAAAAAAATAAAAATTATTGAATCAAACAAAGGAAGCGAAAAATCCTGAAAGTTATTATTTATTATTATTAGAATTATATTTAATATTAGCACATAAATTCTATTACTTCTTTAAAATAATTTATTTATTTGATTAATTGTCAATAAATTATATTAGATATCAGCTCAACTTTCAACTTTATGTACTCCAAAAATTTGAATACTCTTAAAATAATAATACATTAATTTTAATTTGATATAATTTTATACTATAAGATAATTAAAATATCAAAAATTACTAAAAATTAAAATGATACTAAATTTAAATAGGTTTTACAATTACAGAATTTAAATAATGTTATTATAATATTTATTATTATTTGATTATCGTTCACACTCTCAATGACTATCATGATGAATATTAACAATGTAAAAGGCTGTTTCAATGCTTGAAACAAGAAATGCTCTATCTTTAACTTCGATACCAAATTCTTTTTCTAGAGCATCATGTATATGAATGCATGTTGCTACATCAACATAACCAGCAGCATCATTCCAATTAGTATTAAATGTAATTGGGGTAGATTCCCACTAAATTATTATATATTGATACTCTTTCTGGGTCTATTTTTCTCAATCTATCACCAACTATTTTAATTATTCTTTTTGCTGTTACAGCTGGCTTTGAAATTAATAAATAATTACATTATTATAAACTGAACCATTAGGAAAGTGATATGTATAAATAGGTGCTTGTGTTGATAAAGTTTTTGAAAATTTAGATAATTATTTATACATTATTTTTATATTATTTATTTTTTTAGCAAAGAATATTATAGATAATTTTCAGATGTTAGATTATTGGTTAAATATTTAAAAATACTAAATAATATTATATATAGAGAGTATTAAATTTGATTTACAAATGATTAGCTCCTTAAATTTAAAATGAATTATGATAATTAAGAAGGAATAAAATAAGGGAAATTTGATTATGATATATAAATATATATATAATGTAAGAATAGTGGAAAAATAAGATGCTGCTTATAAAAAGATATAAAATTTGTTGTGTAATGTATTCTTATTATATTTTATGTAATTAATATACGTGATCATTATTTCTTTGTTTAAGGTTTCTTGGTTTATGGTTTCTTAGTTTCTTTTGGCTATTCTTTAGGTTTTTCTTCTTTAGGTTATTATTTCTTATCTTTCTTTTCTTCTTTAACTTCAACTTCAGCATCATCTTTTAATTTCTTGATTCTCAACATACCTTATTTTGCAGATAACCCAGCAGGAGTACTATATTAATAGAAATATTTTATACTTAACTTCCCAAGCTCCACCAGCAATTTATAATCCTGTCTATGTACATCTCCAAATACCTATTGCTTATCTTTTTAATGAATGCTAATAAAATATATCAATTAATTTCATACAGCTCCTGTGAAAGTATTGAAATATCTTTGATGTTGTGAAATTTCAAATTTCTTTATAATCTTTCTTAATGATGCACCATATCTGGTTCCATATTTACCTGTGATTCCAACCTTCTTTGTCTTCTTTGTCATTTCAAATAAAATTTAAAATCTTTAATTTATTTACTATTTAAATTTATTGTGAATATACAATCATATACTAAATATATGCTTTGATTGATTGTTACTTTATATATTTAGGCTTTATAAACAATAATATTCTAATTAATCATTTATTTTTTAAAATATATAGTTAAATTTATAAACCATGGCTTCATTTAAAAAATAATAACAAAAAACTTAAGTTCCTTAAAAAAAGAAAGTTAAGAGTGAATTAACAGATGATTAAAAATAAGAAATTAAAGAAGCTTTTGATTTATTCGATACTGATCGTTCTGGAGCTATAGATTGTCATGAAATTAAAGTTATTCTCAGAGCTTTAGGTTTTGAAGTTAAAAAATAAGAAGTATAAGCATTGATGAAAGAATATGATAGAGATGAGACAGGTCGTATTGAATATAGTGATTATATTGAATTAAGTAATATCAATAATTCAAATTTTAGTGACTAGAAAATATTGTGAAAGAGATCCATAAGATGAAATTTTTAGAGCATTTAAATTATTCGATGATGACAATTCAGGAAAAATTACATTAAGGAAATTAAAAAAAGTATCAAAGGAATTAGGAGAAACTTTAAGTGATTAAGAGTTATAAGCTATGATTGATGAATTTGATAAAGATGGAGATGGATAAATTAATATTGACGAGTTTCTAAGCATCATGAAATAAACAACAATTTATTGAATTAATGAAAATTATATCTAAGAACTTTATAATTATTAATATTAAAAATTAATCATTTCTCATCTATTTTCAATTAAAACTCATTATATATCCAATTAATTCATAATTATACAACTTAATTTCATTAAAAATCATTTCTTATTAAATTAGATATATTCAAATTATTTTAATTTAATGGCTTTAAAAAAAAAATCATTATTCAATGTCTATATTTTCTTTTTTTCTTTTTACTATATGGAATCCTGTATCAATTAGAAAACGATAGTATTTAGCATTTGGATCATTTCCTTAATATACTTATGTAGTATTTTTAACTTCTTCTAATCTCGTTGATCTGATCAAAAGAATATTATAAAGTTTAGGATATTTTGTTATGCATTATAATACTTAATCAACACAATCTAAAGATGATATTTAAAATAATACTATTTTCTTCTATTTAATCAAAAACTTAGAATAATCTTTTTTAATTACCTTAAATTTATCCTTCATTTTTGTTCTTGATCTCTTATTCCAAACACAAATCTATAAAATTCTAACATTAAATTTAATCTTAAGAAATCAAATCAAATACTTTGTTTAACTTTAGACTAGTCTACAAATAAAATTAATATAAAATATCATATAATCTATGTTCAATTAAAATATCTTAAAGCAATTCTTCTGAAAATATTTTAGAGAATTCTAAAATTATCTAAAATTAAAATGGAGATATTCTTTTTTCAAACTAATATTATGTTGACATATCTTTTATGAGAAATTCAAATAAAGTAAAAAAGTTAATTTACATATTTTTTAATTTAGGTATGGCTTGCATAATTAAATCCAACCATTATGATTCATTTGTCCAAAACTTAGCAAATTAAATGTTATTCATTGATTTTGCTTCATAAATATTAGAGTAAATAATATCTAAAATATTAAACAAATGTTTATCTGATTCTTAATCCTAAAGATTTAAAAATTCATTTATTATTGTTTAAAGATCTTCTAATTTTGAATAAAATTAAGATTCAAATTACGAAAATAATTGCCATTTATTTAAACAATTATTTATTAATTACTGTAAACTATTTTCATTGTTATTTATGTATTCACCAACTTTTAAACAAGTTTAATATTTTATTAAATTTAAAATAATTTATTGGTTCTTAACTACTGTTTTTGTGTATTACAACCATTATTCTAGTTTTTTTTAGTTTTCTTGCAATTAAGTTTAAACATTTATGTATTTTGAAATAGGAGTTTCCATGAAATCCCAAACAATTTAATTAATTACTTGACAAATTATTTATTCATGAAATGCTTAAAACTCTAATTTTAAGAAAGCTGAATTAGAATTTGAATGAGCACAAAAATTCTTAAAGCCTTCTTTTAATAAATTAAATATAATTTCATTCATACATCTACCTTAGAAATGAGTGACTCTAAAAATTATAATTTAATAATTTTACAATTATTATGGACTTTTTTGTTAATTTTCTCCAAGGATGTAGATTTTTCCATTAGAACAGACTTTCAATTATGAGAAATCATTATCTATTGAAATGCCTATACCTTAAATATTTCCATTGAAAACTAAATGTTCTTTACTAGATGTAGACAAATTATTATGATAATAATTAGTATCCAAAACTGAGTATAAGACATTAAAATTTTCATCATTTTCAAAGAAGAATGATTTTATTTTATTTCCTTGTAATTATAACTCATTCAAATCAATATATGTTAATTTATCTAAATTAGAAAAATCTTGTTTTTAATCAATAATTTCCATCTCTTTTGTAATAAGTTTAATTTAACTATGTCTATCTAATTAATCTTTATTTTCTATGATAGCAAAAAGTATTAAATTCATACCCTTTGAAGTTCTTGATACATGAAAATTATTAATAACTACTTAACAATTAATATTAGTAACATCGCAAACAAAATTTCTTTATGATTAAGACTATAAGAATTGAAATAAAAATTACAATCAAATTATAAGGTTTTAGACTACATTAATAGGTCTTAATTTAATTGGGTGTTGTTTGTTGTACTATAAATAAAGTATCTTCGAAGATTGAAAACTTGAAATTAGCTCCTTAAATATAGAAATCTAAATTATTTGAAAAAAGTTTTTTGATAAAATTTCCTTTTAATAATAAAGATTAATAATTGAATCGATTATCTTTATCATCTAAATTTAATGTAATTAGATCGAAATGATCTGTAAGAATATATAAGTTTTAATCTTGTTCAAGTATTTGTACTTCAGAAAATGATAACTTTTTTCTAAGTGTATAATCATTATTCATCTAAATTTTACATGTTTTTGGTAATTCTAATATGTCATAGCCAATAATGATATCTTAAGAATAAAATAAACATAAATTACTATTTCCAATTAAGATCATTTATTTTTGATCAAATTATTCATTTGCAAATTTGAAAAAGTAAACTTATACTTTACCACATTGTGTTTTGCCAAATAATTAAGTGAGATCAATTTCATTAGCCTAAATCAATAATTAAGTAATACATCTTATAATCCATCTCTATAGAGTGTTAAATCAGAGTCTTTTTAAATAGCAATCCAATCAAAATTACAAAATTAAACATAACTTTCTGGTTTAATTTATAATTTCTCTATTGATCTTTTAAAAGGTACATATTCATTCTAACTTATTAAAAAATATGTACTTCATCAAATTACTTTGTTAAACTGAATTTCATAAATTAATTTATTACACAATTTTTACTTCATTAATAAATGTTATTATCAAAATAAAACTATGATGATTTTTAATAATACAACATTCATAAAACAATCAAATAAGAATAGTTCTAAATAAAGTAGATGAAATAAGAAGTCATGAAATCTTCTCTTGAAGAATAAAGATAAATATAAGAGGAAATGAAAAGAAGAAATTAAGAATTATAATAAAAAGAAGATAATTATGAAATTTAGAGAATATAAACTTTGAATAAGGAATTAGCAGATTAATAGAAATAAAAAAAACTTTAAACAAAAGAATCCTTATCAAAAAAATATACAGAAATAATAGATTAAAGGAATTCGATTCTAAATTAAAAGGTAAAAAAAAGATTAATAATTTTTTTTAGAGAAATGAAGATTTAAATATTGAAAACTAAATTATTGATAGTGCTTAAAAAGCTCTTTAAGAAGAGAGATAAAATTAATTATAAAAGAAACTTCTGTAAAGATAAATTTATGATGAATAAATGAAACTTGTTGAAGAAAAGAAATAAAGAGAAAGATTAAATAGAGATTAAGAAAGAGTATTATTTTAGGAATATGCAATAAAAGATTAATAAAGAATAATTTAATAAGAAGAAGATTATAAAAAAGTATTTTTTTTTTAAATTAATTAGTATTATCAAAGATTAGCAGAAAGAAATGAACATTTGTAGGATATTTATAGAAAAAATGTAGATGATCCTAAATCATCCTTAGACTATATAATAAATAAATAAGTTAAAGAAAAGATGGAAAGAGAATAAGAAGAAATAAATACAAAAAGATAGTATGACAAAAATGTAAAAGATCAATATTTAAATACATTATCGTAATAATTAAAGGAAAAAGAATAAAGAAGAAAAGATTATGATATATTGGCTACTTAAAATAAATAAGAAATTCGAAGAGCAGCAGAAAGTTTTAATGATGAATAATAATAAGAAAAGAAGAAAAAACGGGAATTCTAATCATAATACTATGATTAATTAGCAAATTTGGTAAAAAAATATATTTAATTAAGTCAACTTAAGGAAATGGCTAAATTCAATAAGATAAATAAATAGAAAATTTAGGTTTATCTTAATCTTAAGTTTACAATCCCCTGACGAATCCAAATCCAAATCAGATTTAGAATCCATATATTTTAAGATAGCTTGGAATAAATAAATCTAATCATATCCAATCACCTCATTAAAGTTAATCTAAATTAGCTTAATTAGGATAGAGTAGTCTATTTAAATGAGGTTTATGTTTAAGCGTTATTTTAAAAGTTCATTTATTAATAATATTAAAATTTATGCTTTGTTCTTATAAATATTGTAGTTTAGCAACTAAAGCCTAATCTGATGGTGTTATTCCATGTTAATTATGTTTATAAGTTAGGTATTGTTCATAAAGATGCAAAGATCTCGATTGGTATGAAATATTTTATTAATTGTAGGACTATATCACATAAATTAAATTGTAAAGCAAAATAAGTTAGATAATCTGCTGTAAATGACACATAATCAACACTTAAATCTGTTGGCAAAAATATAGATGATTATGAAATTATAGTTAAGGATGGAAAATCTGAATTAGGAAGAGGTAGTTATGGTTAGGTTAAACTTGTAAAAGATAGATAAAATGGATAATTATATGCAATGAAAATTGTAATTTTATTTGATCTATTTTAATAGTTAAATAAGAAGAGAATATTTGAGTATTGGTCAACAGAAAATCTCAAAAGAGAAATTAAAATTCAAAGAAGATTAGCTCATCCACATATTGTTAGATTGTATCATTATTTTGAAGATAAAGAAAATGTTTATTTGATTTTAGAATTAGCTGAAAATGGAAGTTTATTTTTATATATAAGAAGAAGAAAAAGATTACCAGAAAAGGAAGCATTTGTCTATTTCTTTTAAACTTGTTTAGGAATTGAATATTTACATAAAAAAAATATTTTACATAGAGATTTAAAACCAGAAAATTTGTTATTAGATAAATAAGGTAATATTAAAGTTTGTGATTTTGGTTGGTCTGCTGAAGCTAATTAATAAACAAAAAGAACAACCTTTTGTGGTACTTTAGATTATATGGCTCCTGAAATGTTACTTAATAAACCATATGATTTCAAATTAGATATATGGTGCCTTGGAATTTTATTATATGAATTAATTCATGGTTTTGCTCCTTTTAAAGGGAAAACTAATTAAGAAAAAGGATAGAATATTATCAATTTATAAACAATTGAATTTAATTCAAGTTGTTCCTTTGAAGTTAAAGATCTCATAAGCAATATTCTTAAAACTAATCCAGAAGATAGATTATCTTTAATTTAAATATTTGAACATCCATATATGAAGAGAAACTACTAAATTTATGGAATTGATTTACAGTAATATCTTAATAAAGAAGAAAAAGCAGAAAATAGATCTTTATCTCCAGTATAAGAATAATTAAAAACAAGGTAATATAAATTTATAAATATTATAGAAATTTTACTTTACCTTAATATAATTCATCACATGAATTGAACCAATCTTCTTTATAAAATACATTTTCTATTTAATAAAAGATATCTGTAGTTTAAAATTAAAAAGTCTTAAATTAACCAACTTATGGAACATCAACATCTATATCAACTGTATTAAAATAATTTATTTTAGTATTCTTAAGAAGAAGAATTGAAGACTAGAGTCAGTCGAGTTTCTCAAAGGCAATAGATTACATAATAATAAAGAGAAATAGGAAGTTTAAGATAAAATAATAATGATCTTGGATTCATGGATAGAGTTTTCTAAGCTTTAGGATGTTTGAATAGAGACAAGCAACAATAAAATTAATAATTTTGAATTATAAATATTACTTTAATTGTTATTATAATTATTTATTATTAAATTAATTTGTATAATTTAATTTTAACCTTTAAAATTTTGATTGAGAATGAATAAAAGCAAATAATTATTTGTAAAGAATAAAAAGAGTATTTGTTATTAATATATTAATGGATTTTCACCAATTAATAAATGGATCATCATTTGGTTTTACTGGTTTAGGTAATTCTGTACTATCAGGATAAGTTGAATAATTTGAAGTATCACCTTTATTTCTAATATACATATATTATAAATATTTACTTCACAACAGGTTTATATTTTGGCTACAGTTTTTTTTAAAGTAAAAATTCCCAATCTAAACTTTAAAACCATCTATGAGTTTTAATATCATTTGCTCCTCCTTTTAAATTTCCATATCTTTTTGTTAAATCTGCTACTAAAAGATGTTTAACAAGACTTTTAGCTTCCCTATATTTTATTTAGAATATAAAATTTACTTGTCAAAGTTTCTGGGAAATTTAACTTTTCCTTTTAATATTTTTTAATAAATTGCCATAGGATCTTCATCATTAAATGGATCAATTCCTGCTAACATTTCATAAATTAAAATTCCTAAACACCACCAATCTACTGGTTTACCATGTCCTTTAAATATAAATTTCAATTTAAACCTTTATTAAGAAGTATTTCAGGTGCTAAGTATTCTGGAGTTCCACAAAGTGTATAAGTTCTAGAATCAATAAATTTAGCAAATCCAAAATCAGTTAATTTTAGATAACCATCTGCACCTATAAGAAGATTTTCAGGTTTAAGATCTCTATATACAATGTTTTTTACGTGTAGATATTCAAACATCAAAACAACTTACGATGCATAAAATCTAATTTATTTACATGTTTTACTATGCTTCTTCATTTTCAAGTTTACCCTTATTTCTAAGATATGTAAATAGCTCTCCTCCTTATATATATTCTAAAAGAAAATACAGATATCTATCATCTTAAAAAAATCCCAGCATTTTTATCTAATAAATAAAAATATGATACTAAAAATGGATGACTAATATTAGAAAGAATCGTATTCTCAGATAGTATGTGATCTACCTATTTAAGTCTTAAAATTTCAGCTTTTTTCAGCATTTTTAGAGCTACATATTCACCATTCTATTTATGCTTTGCTAATCTCACTCTACCAAAAGAACCTGTTCCCAAAGTTTAAAGTATTTCGTAATCTGTTAATTTTACTTTAAGTGCTTTAAAGGTGCCCTAATCCATTATATAAATTAACTATAATTTTAATTAATATATATCTAAATAATGGTTGAAATTTAGAATCTGAAATACAATATATAATATTATAAGTATACAGAAGTTTCTTTTCATTAATTTAGGTTATTGTAAAATAATCTTCAGAAATTAAATTTGTTTTGAATTGTTGCATTTGATATCTAAGATATGTTATTTTGATTCTGTTAGTAATTTACACTTTAATTCCTAAAACTTCTCTATAAAATAAATATCAATTTTATACATCTTCTTATAAAGGTGTTGGAGATGTAAATTTTGTAAATGTTTGACTTTTTAATGTTGAAAAACCTGGCATTTAAGCTGGTGCCTAAACTTTAGTTTCATTCAAGCATTTATTTAAATATTATATCATTTGATTATTTGATTCAAGCAATTTTTAACTTTCTGCTAATTTATTTTTTAAATCTAAATTTGTATTTTCTTAGTCTTTAACTCTTAATTCTAAACTGTCTTTTTCTCTCCTTACTATAAATTATAAATTTATATATTACATTCATTAATTTATTTATTGCTTAAATCATTTGCATCTTATAACTATTATACAGTTTATTCTTATTAAAGAACAACAGTATTTTTTAATTTATTTTTTTCTTTTTATTTGCTTAATTCATTTTCTAACTTTTCTATAATTTAATTTCCTTTATTAACTTCTTCACTCATTACTGCAATTCTCTATTCAAGTTTTTCTATTTGTTTTTTTTAATTATTTACTTATTCTTCTAAAATAACCTAATTATTTAAAATTAAAATTACATTCTATTTTTTTTCATTGTCTACTAATTATTATTTATTGTTTAAAAAATCTTCTTTATCATGTAACAACTTTTCTAATCCTTCCTTTTAAATTCTTAATTCTATTATTTATCTTTCTTAAGTAAATTTAAGTGTATCCAATTCTTTATTCAAAACTCTAAACTCTTAATTCTCTTTCTATAATTATTAAGATTCTTATTAAGTTATAGTAAATTTATTTCTTAACTCTTTGTCTAAATGAGTTAATTACATTTTTTATTCTAATAATTCTTAATTCGTTTATTGCAATTAAGTGTATTTATTTTACAATTCAAATACAATTTTTTCATATTTTTCAATTATAAATTGTTTTTCATTTTCACTTTCTCTTTTAAAATTTGTCTCTCTACTTAATACTTATTCTCTAAAGTCATTAAGTTTTTTTTGTTCATCTAATTAAATTTATTAAAGAACTGCATTATTATCTTCTGTCAATTTTCTTACTTCAGATTTCAAATTCTCTAATTCCCATTATTTATCTTCTAATTATTCTGTTAATTTTTTAGTTTTTTTATGTAATTCTTCATTTTCCTATTTTTCATTTGCTAATTTATTTGCTAAGAAATATTTAAGAATATCATCAGTTGCACTTCTTAATCTTAATGATAAATGAGTTAATTTTTTAAATTCATTATTTTCAATTACTGCAAGTGTAGATTCTCCATTCTTGGTTTCCAAACAAACATAGAAACTAAAATATTAATATAGAAATATACTTGACTTTTTCATCTCTCTAACTATTAATACATAATTATAATAAATCTGCTAATTTCATTGGAAATGTAGCAAAATCGACATGTAAACTTTATTCATTTTTTAATGCTAAAAATTCAGCCTCATTTAAATCTAATATTTGTAAAAACGAAAAGTTTGCATCATCTGTTAATTCAATTCTTAATGTTTATCCATGAATTTATTGACTTGATTACATTATCATTTTCAATGTTAATTATGTATTCCAATCATCAGTTAATTATTTAACTTTGACTGGTATTTATAATGTGAATAACTCTTTAGATACCATTGTAACAGGAGCATTAACAAAACTAACATTAACTGATTAAGGTTTATTGCTAATTTGTTCATATTTTAATTTTTATGAAGACTGAAAATCATTCATATTTGTAGTTGATTTAGCTGGAGTCTATTGTACTCCAAATTCAATTCTTTTGAAATTACCTCTATAATCTTACATATTATTTTTTATTTTAAATTTTAACTGTAAATTAATAGGAAAATTTTCATATAAATCAATAACCGAATGCATTAATAATGGATTTAGGATAATAATGAGATCTACTTTTATGCTCAGTTTTTATTAATTTTGAAAGTAATTCATTCTACTTTTAATAAGGTCTGGAATAAGTAGTGGTTCTATAACTTTAAGTTGGACTTCTTTATGTACTGAGTAATTCTGTCATACAAGTTTTCAATTTCAATGTTTCTCCTCTAGGTTTGATTGAATTTCTAAAAGGTATTTAACTTAATTATATTTTTCTAGATTTAGAATCATTCATAAAATGAAATAATTTTAGTTTTTATCCTTAAATATATTTCTCCTTAATTAAGTTTGTCGAATTCTTTTTTTTAAATAAAGTAATCTTGGTTTCTTTTGGAGTTTTACAAGAAGGAGGTCTTTCCATATTATCATATTCTTAAAATATCATTCATAATATTACCAATTAATGTCATTTATTTCGAGAGTTTACGAGCAATGCTTGGACGCTTTGTACTCTTCCTTTGATTTTTTTTTAATATTTCAGCAAAGCTTGAGAGAGCGAATTCTTTACCATTTATTTTTTTATGCATTTCTATTGAAGTAGGAAAATTTATCATTTATTTTTATTAATTTATTCCAAATATAATACCATAACACGATTTCCTTCTAGTAAAGATTTCTCTGTTTTTAGATCTTATCTTTTCAACAGCATTTTTTAATGGAAGTAAAATTGAAATTTTTTTTTAAGGTAATGTTCTTTCGGTTAAAGTTATTGTAAATGTATCAGTTTATAATTCTCTTAAAGAAGGAGGAGTTGATTTTGATCTGTTTGTTTTACATTAATTACTACAGATCATTAAATTATAATTTAGTTTTTTCTCTTTTTACAATTAAGGTTCATTACATATTAAAGCAGTCATTGGTATTCTTCTCCCATTAAATTCAAAAGGAGGATAATCAGCTGAATTCTTTATATGAACTTTTATTACCTATTGAACTTATTTTTTTCATTAACTTATAAATTTATATATTATACAATCTAACATTATAAGAATCAATTTTATTTATTTAACCTTATTTAAACTAAGCATATCCTAAATAATTTCCTATTACTTTTTTCATTTTCTCAAATTATTACTATTTTTTGTCTCAAATTAACTACAGCATTTTTTATTAACAAATTATCTGGTTTTGAAAAATATCTTCTGGTATCTTTATTTATAAACTATTATTTTCAGAAAATAAATAATCTTTCAAAAGAATTATCAAACTTTAATAATTGATTCATATGAAATAAAATTTATTATCATTTGAAAACGATAACAAATTTATTCATTGAAAATTTTACGTATAATAATTTATTTTATACTACAATTTTAAGTTAAATTTTAAATAATTACTTATAAACTTGATTCTGCATCATCTAATTATTTAAAATTATTAAAATGTTAAAATTTTTATCTGAATAGTATAAGAAAATGATGTTTAATCTATTAATTTATATAATCTTTGTAAAGTTATTCACTTTTTACTTAAGATCCTTATGATTTTTCGAAATTGATGATAATTGCATTTATTATTTTTTAATAAAAGCGAGAATTTCTAATATTTGGAGAATCAATTTGAAATTTATTGAATAAAATGCAAATCTAATAAGATAATCAAATGAATTTAATATTGAGCAATATCAATTTAATAGAATGCATAAGAAAATAAATTATATCTTATTATGACATAATTTTGTAATCTCAAGAAGAAGGTAAGTTTAAGTAACTCAACTAACACAATTAGAAAATGATAGGTTAAACTTCCTTGAAAATAATAATAAGAATTTAGAAAATATACTGGATGGTAAGTGATAGAATATTTACGACATTTATAATCATTGTGACTCCAGTAAACACTATTTTTAGTAAAATCAATCATCATATTCAAAACTGTTTTTTCTTTAGTCATTAGTTTCATTTTCTTATAAAAAAAAATCATTAGTATCAATTAATTATGCAGCTGTTTCATGTTACTTTTTGCTCTCTTTAACAATTCTTCGAATAACACCTATTTTGCAATTCTTAAAATTTTAAAGATCAACTAACTATATGATATAGTCATACCTAAAGTTTCTGCTTTCTTCAATTAATAATAGTAATCCTCCAAAGTTTTTCTAGGGACACCAACAATCTCAGCCGCTTTATCTAATGTAAGTTTTAATGATCTGCCATTCTCGATATAAGTTTATTAATATAAACTTCTATCATTTAGATATATACTATACCTCCATTACTCAACTAAAAGCATTGCCTCATGAACATATCTTTCTTTAATTCGTTTAACTTTATATTAGATTTGGATTTCATTATCCATTTATTATTCAAATGTATAGAAACAAAGAAGCATAAATATAAAGTATTTAACTAATAAATTCTGTTTATATTATAAAGTTGCCTATTTGCAAATAATAAATGAATTAAAAAAATTAACAGATAAATATTGGAGGATTATTTTTTTTATTAATTATTTAAATGAATTACTAAAATAAGATATTTTCATTTTTTATGAACACTTTATTTCATACTAGAATTGTTATTTTCTACAGGTTTAGGTTAAAGCATGTTTAATAGTAATTTTGTGTGTTATTCAATATTAGGATCCTCTAATTTAGCAAATTTTTTAAGTAATCTATAAATGAGTTAAAAATATACTTAACACTTTTAAATTTTGCTTAATCTTATTTTTGTCTTGATTCATGCTATGAAACACTCTTAAAATAGAATAATATGCTTACTTTATAATTCAATAAATTATCACTTAATTCTTAAAGCTATGAGTAAATTCTTTATCTTTCTTAAATTTCCTATTTGTTTATTTCCATAGATGTTTTTTAAATAACTTCCTTAAATATAATATTTCAATCATTACATTTTAATATTATTTAAGTTAATTTTTTTCATCAATAAATTTTGATTTCATATAAAGAGTCATCATTTTATAATCATTTTGTCTTTTCTATCTTTCATAATTATCTAATTTATCTTATTCTTTTAATCTTCTTAGTTCCTATTTTAAAAGTATTTTATGCTCTAATTCTTATCTTCTTAATTTATTTTGTTCTTCAATTTTCATGAATTTATCATTAAGCTATTTTAACTTTTTACTAAGGATATTAAATGTAATTACTCATGATCTTTGTAAAGGTCATTTTGATTCTATTTAATTTTTTTTTATTTTTCTTTTATTTATTATTTTTTTTCTAAATCTTGTATCAATTAAGATTAAAGTTACCCTCTAAATTCTTACTCTTTGTTAATCATTTTATTAATCATTGAACTAAGATGCTCTTAAGATTAAATAACATTAATTTCTTTTTATTATTAAATTAATTATTATTCTCGAAAATATTATTCTTTAATTCTTTCTACTTTAATTTGTGCTTATTATTTTGATAATTTTTCACTTTAATTTAACTTTAATTATAGTTTTTCTAAATCCTTTTATAATTCAATATCCTCTAGTTTATCAAGTTCTTCTTTTCTTTAAATAACCATTTCTCTTCTTTATTTAATTTTGGAATCATCTATTCTAGTTCTGTACATTGTTTTTTATAATGATGTATCTCCACTTAAATTAAATTTGATAATTTACTTATCTAATTTAGTATCACTATCTCTTTTAAAAGATTTTGGATCTGTAATTTATGGCATTTTTTGTAATGGAGTTTTTCTTCCACTAATTTTCATCTTTTATTTAAAGTCATATTGTTTTTTCAAAATTTAGTCTAAAATTTATGAATCTTTTTATTTCCACTTTTCTATCAACTACAATCTTTTTGCATCTTCTTTTAATTTAAGTTAAGCTTCTCTCTAGATTTTAGATAATATATAAAATTATTTACAATTTTTTATTTTTTATGCTTATTGTATCTATCAATCTCCTTTTCAATTCCCCCTTCCAATTAATTAAGTTCATAAACATCTCCTATAAATTAATCTTTAGTAGGAGATTCACTCTTTTAATGCAAAAATGAAACAGTTCTATTATATATTGAATCTATTTATCTTCGAACCCTTATATTTATGAATAAACTTACTCCCATTAATCTAATGATTACTATAATTTAATTGTTTTTGATCTATCTAGAGACTCAATTGATGCATTATTATTATTTAATTATTTCTATCTTTGTCTCTAAATTATTTCTTTTCTTCTTTATGTTATTTCAGTGAACAATTCTATAATAATATTTATTATTCATTTTTTACAATGAGCTCTGTTTAAATAATGTTAATATCTAAGTTAAATTATTTCTTCATCAAGTTCATTCTATTTGAAATCAGATTCTTCTCTTATATAAATCTATTTACTTACTTTAATTCCAAAACTATAGGATCTATACCTAATTCTTAACAAGCTTATAAAGTTCTTGGAGAGTTAGACTTTATGTTGAACTTCTAAAATCCCTATATATTTAAATGTCTAGGAAGGCAACTTTAATTGCTATTTGTGTTTTCTCGACTTAGTTTTGGAATCATTAAATAAATAAGAAATAATAAAAAATTAAATTTATTAATATTATTCTTCTTAAGCTAAAAATACTTTATTTATTAAAATCAAGAGATAATTGAGTTTTTATTAATTTAAATATTTAAAATCATAATACTAATTGAAGCTTTCTCATATAATTATATTTTGTGTAATATCTCCTTAAGGTAATCATTAAATTTAAATAGTATGATATTAAATATTAATTTATACAATAAGAATTGATAAAATATATATCTTAAATATTTATTTAAATGCCAATCAAATTCTATTTTTATTATGATGATTGTAAGATTAAAGTGTTTAAATGAGTTTTAGTTTTCTTAAATAAAATTTAATTAAATGTCCCTTAGTTAACTGTCAGGAAAATAAGGAATAAATTATGCAAGTAAGATATTTTTTTAATAAGTTCAAGAGAACTCAGACATAAAAAGTCTCCAAATGATTAATAGTCATTTGGTTTATTTGAGGACATGAATAGAAACAATTTATAATATATTGAATCATTAATCTAGAAACGCAAGCCTAGTGTAGATATTAAACATTAAAGAGCTAAATCAACACTTGATAATAAATAACATTCTTATAGACATGGTACACCCATAAATGATATAGAAGAATTGGAAGGAGAAAAACTATTTGATTAGTTTTTTAAATTAAATAACTCAAAAAGTGATAGTGATTTTATGAAAGAATCTATATAAAGAGATAGTGTTAATAAGAATAATGAAAATGATTTTTTAAAATTCGTTGAAAATGCAATTGAATATCATAGACATTCAGATGTTAGATTTTTCAGACTTTCAGTTAATAAATAATCTCATTTAGAATTAAAATTAAAAGAAATGACTTTATCAAACAGACTTTTGGCTAATCAATTAAATCAATATAAATAAAAAGAGATAGATCTCAAAAATAAGATCAAATTGATGCAAAAAGAATTTACAATTTAATATTAAAAACTTATCTAATAAAATGCATGGTTAGAAGAATTATTAGCAAAATAAAAAATTGATAATTAAAATTCTCTTTTAGCTGTTAAAAAGACAGTTGAAATGTTATAAATCAAATGTAAATGTTAAAAAGGAAATCAGTTATGTGATAAAATATTAAGAGATGTCAAAAATTAAGAAAGAGTTAGATAATAATATGAATGGGAAAATGAATCTAAACCAACACATTCATCTTCTGAATTAAGTAATAATACTTAAGAAGAAGAAGATTCAACTGATTTTAATTATTAACTTTATGATAGAAACAGAAGAAAATCAATCTCTAAAGTATGTCATAACTCAATCTAATCATCAGAAGAATAATAAGAATAATTAGTTTAAAGTTTTATTAATGGAAAAAGTAAAAATCTAAGAGAATTTCCAAAAGATATGTTTCTCAGAAAAAAATAAGCTCCAGATCCTTATTACATAGAAGAAGAAAATACAATCAATAGTAACTGAAATATATATATATGATTCAATATTAATCTAATTATTAAATATGCTTTTATTACTTTTTAACATGATCACAGTATTATTATATTAAGATGTGATATAAATTCAAATATTCAATCATATATTTAAAAAATATCAAATCAAATAGCTAAGTTTAGAATATGTAAGAAATTTAGATGATTCTATAATTTTAATTATTTTTGTTAAAGTATAATATAATATAATAATACAAAAACTAATTTAAGGAAAACTTTTTAATAATTTAAGACTTTTTGATAAAATTATTAAAATAAGCGTAGCTTACCAATTATTTCTTTGAATCAAAAAAACTTAAAAAATTATACAGACTTAATATTATTCAAAATATTGAACTACTAACTACTGTATAAATGTAAAATTCTTAACCTAATACTTAGTATTTCTATTTATTTGAGTTTTTTTGATAAAGAGAAAATTGCAGGAGAATACTTAATGGCAATCTATAATAAAGAAAAAAATCAAAGCGCAGTAGGATTAAGTGATGTTTTTATGTAAAATTTAAAATTGATCTCACAAGTATATTATTTTAATTTTAGTGCATCAGGTAGTGTAAGATCGACATCAATAATGAATTTTTATTGATATATATTAAAGCATCCATCCTTAATTCTATTTATTTTAGGTGATTTAAATTTCGAGATATAGATAAGGATTCAATTAATGAATTTAATTTAGTTTAAAAATAAGATTTTGATTTTATTAAATAGAAATATTTGTAATGCTCTTGAATTTTGCTGATATGAATAAGTGTCATTTGAATATTAATTTTATGCTCTACAAGAGAAGTAGTTAATTTATTATATTGAAAATATGTTCCTCATATTTTAATTGAATGAAATAAGATTATTTTCTTTAGAAGTTAAGGGTTTAAATGAAAGAAACTGAAGAGGATATTGGAACTTATAAATATCAAATTATTTTAAGAACCATAATTATATTGGTGGATTTAGAAAAATTTAATATTTTGATATATAAGGAGATTAATTTGAAAGTTATATAAATTAAAGATGAGTTTATGAAAACAATAAAGATGATAGCTTTTAGAAATTATATGAAATAGTTGCAATTAAATAATAGATTTAAGTTGTTATTTTTATATAATAATTTCATGGAGAATTTTGGGAACAGTTTTCGAATAATTAATAATAACTGAAAAGTTAAAATATATTCAAAAGATTAAAGAGAATAAGTATTAATCATAAGTGGTGATTCTGATATAATTGATATAAAAAATGGATAGAATTTCAATTATGTAAATTATAGGTTTTAAATATGAGTATGGATTCCCAAAGTACAGATCTATAAAAAATCAAGTTGTAAAAAGAGTTTGCACTTCGGTTGCGTAAGAATCATTATTTTGATATTGGAATTTAAGATTACAGAATTAAGAACTGGCATTATTTGTTAGAGAGTTTAAAAAAAAAAATTTACTTTTTTTGAGAGGATGAGATATTAAAAAGTTATGAGGGATAAATATAATCCTCATGAGATGTTTTAATGAGATTTTTATATTTTATCGCTTCATTATAAGTTTCTTACGATTTATTAATTATTATGTATTTAATTTAAAAAAGTGTTGTAGAAATAGTATTAGACATCAATTTATGATAAGAAAAAATGATGTATAAAATATTATTTAAATTGAGTTTGTAGATATTTCAATAATTACAATAATATTATAATATTCTTTAAACTATTAATGGATTAAGTGTTTATTACTCCTAGTTAAGGAAGTCCTAGAAATTCATTTGGACCATTTGATGTTATCAAATAAATATATAAGAAAGAAAAGATGCCATCTTTTATACAATCAGAGGAAAGCTTAATGAATGGTTTGAATGAAGGACAATTAAGATAAACTAGTCCTTAAAGACATACTTCTAGATCTAGAATACAATAAACTTATATATCTCGCTCATCTATTTTAAAATTACACTTGAAACCTAAATTTATGAAATTTGTGCAATAAAAATAATTCATTTAAAGATTTTTTTAGAATCTCTATCAAAGAGCTTATATTAAATAAAGTAGTAATGATTATTTAGAGGAAAATTACTTATCTATGAATTTAAAGAATAATAGTGATTGTATAAATAGTTATATAAATTATAGAGGAATTATTACAAAAGGAAAATAGTTATGTAATTTAGCCAGGATCTGTATTTTTAATATTTTGGGATCTCATTGGAATTACAGTAATAGCTTTGAGTTTATGGTTATGTCCATTTCTAGCATGTTTTTTATAATAACATAAATAAAGAGAAGTTGATGAAGAGATATTCCCATATTTAATTGCTATTATCGCACTTTATGCAGTATGTGATTTTGCCATAAGTTTAAATAGGGGATTTATTTTAAAAGGAGAAGTAATATTATAATACTTATAAAGGTTATTTATGATAGAATGCAAATAATAAAAAATTATTTTTAATATACCTTCTTTACTGAAATTTTAAATCTGATAATGTGGGCTCTCTTTTACTTTGATTATCAAGTAAATGAATTTATAACAATAATTTAAATGTTGATCATTTTTAAATAAATCAGAAAAAAGATTGTTATTTAATATGAATAATTTTATTTAAGAGGAGGTTTAAGTTAAATCTTAGATTTAATGAATGTAATATTAAGTGTTTATTTTGTTGCTCATACAATGGCATGTTTTTGGTATTATATGGGAGAATTGACTAGCTATAAATTTGGTCATTCATGGTTAATTAAGGAATAACTATTAGAAGAAACACTTTGGGTAAAATATGCTTATTCTTTATATTGGGCAACTATGACTATGGCAACAGTTGGATATGGAGATATTACAGCATAAAATTATTATGAAGTTGTTTCTACTATTGTTATGATGTTTATTAGTAGTTGTACTTTTGCTTATTCAATGAATTCTATTGGATACATTTTAAAATTAATTTATGACTAAAAATAATAATATAAGTAATTATTCAATTAATTTTATAGAAAATCACTTATTTTAATCAATTAACATATGAGGCATAATAATATTCAACCAGAATTATAAAGTAGAATACGAAATTATTTACAATTTCATTTTCAAGAAGACATATTTGGAAGTTAAGAAGATGTATGCAAAATTATTTAGATTTAAAGATCGATAAAATTTATGCTTATCTACCTTAAACTCTCAAAACAGAACTTAATTTTGATATTAAAATGAGTATAATGAAAAAGATGAAACTACTCTAACTTTTTTCATTATAAACATAAAAATACATAAGTTAAGAAAGTGAATTATAGACTTACCTACCTGGAGATTTTATAAATTAATTTGATTCTTCCCTGTATATAAAATTATAAATTTTAGTTTTTTTTTTCATATTGGTTCAGCTACAGTATTAGAAAAATAAAGCAATGCTTAAATTGAAATAGTAAATGAAGGTGATACTTTTGGTGAATACAGTTTTTTTAGTGGCTTCAATTTAAATTTATAAATTAAAACTAATACTCTTTGTAAAGTTTATAAAATTGAAAGATCTAAATTTTTAGAAATTCTTAAATATAATTAAAGAGATTTTGAAAGATTTCATTAAATTAAAGATGAAATTTTATTTGCTCAAAATCTTTAATAAATAAACTTAAAATGCAAATTCTGTCATAAATTTCATCATATTAGTTTAAATTGTCCAAATAATTTTTATTAGCCTGATATTGAAAAATTAATTAAACAAGATTATTTCAAGCAATAATAAAGAAGAGAGAGAAATATTAAAAGATCATCTAGAAGATAATTTAATACTCTTCTTGCTTAAGAAGATGTTGAAAATTGTGCTAAATTATTTGATGAGAATGAATCTATTAAAAATCTAAGCTAAGATGATTAAAGAAATTCGTATACTTTAATTGAGTCTAAATTAGATCATAAAAGTTTAAAATTATCATCATAAAAAAATATTTTCGATAAACCCTCTAATTCTTGTTAGATTCTTGATGAAAGTAATAATATAGATAAGAAGTAAATGATGTTAGATGAGTTTAAATGTAGAAACTTAAATGTAACTGCTGAAATTGATTAATATTATTGTTTTACTGTATATAAGTAAAACAATAATATCGATAATATGATTAAAGAGTATGAAAAATAGTTTAAAAAATTTCCAAAATCTTTTCAACAAAAATTAGACTAAGCTGGTAGGTATACATTTTCGTATTGGGCGAAATTAAATTCTATTAAATTAAGATCAATACTGGAGAAACCGTAATGAAAATTTAATGGTATATTTTAATATTTTGATATAATTCTTAAATAACAATAATAAAATAGCTAATTTTTATTAAACAAGGATATATTATTAATATGCTTAATTTTATATTTTTGAATAAATGTTTAACTATAATTATGAATAGACATATATTTTATATTACAAAAAGTAAGAATTCAAGATTAATATTTGAAATTGGAATGAAAATGTCTATTCTAAAACAAGTTTAAATGAATGTCAGAAATTTTAAGGAAAATGTCTTATAACATTTACACCTTTTAGCTTTAGAGCTTCTTTTATTTAGTGCCAATTTAACCTTTCTTGATTTAATGTTTATTTGCAATCAGGACATTTTTCAGTAAAATTAGTAGTCTAATCACAACTATTACAATATTCTGATAGACAAACATGTATTTTAAAATTATCAGGTACTCTTGAATCATTTTTTATTTTAAATGGATCAATTTAATCTTTTGGAAATGTTTTAGTATTAAAAGATGTATTAAATGATATTCTCATAATTAATTTAGTTTTAACAAGGTTGTAGTTATAAAATTCAATTAAAATATCTCCATGAATAATAATTGGATTAGGGGAGATTATTATACAATTAGTTTAATTTTCTTAAACAATTTTAAGTGTTTCTGTGTCTTTAATAAGTTATTAATTTTGATAAATTTTAGCGAATAGTTTACTACCATCATCTATATTAAATTTTGGTACACCTTCAATAATAATTGAACTAAAATATTTAAGACTTGGATAAATGAGTTCACCTTATAATAATTAGTTGAAGTATTCAATATAACGAATTTGACATGGTTAATTAACACCTAAACCTTAATCATTGAATCTAGATTTTTCATAGTATTATAGAACATCATTTACTGAATTAAACATTCCACAATATAAAAGGTAACAACAAATTAATGTACCTGTTCTTCCTTTTCCAGCCAGACAATGAACAACAACAACATTTTCTTATTTCTAATTGAAGAACTCTTACATAGATTTACACATGTTAAAGAGTAAATGTAATTAAGGAGCATGATGATTATTCCACTGATAATTTTTTACTTGATTTTTAAATTTAGAATAATCATATGTACGTGATGATAAATTCATTATTAAATAATTATTACCATGTCTCTTCTCTAAAAATTTTACAACCTAAATATTCTACATAAATAATACCTTGTCAATAGGATTTCTATAACAACTTTCAAATCCTTCTGCTGGAAAGGCCATTGCAATTATCCTGTCACAAATGTAAGTTAAATCTAAATTATACCCATCTGAAATGAATCTCTTTTTTTTTCCTGAAACTATTTATCTAATATAATCCATTTATTATGTATATTTTAAATAATATTCATTTAAAATGATCTAATACTCACATTTTTATACCCAAAACATTTTTTAAATACCCCATATTAGATTTAAATTAACCTAAAACGTCACTATATAATATAATTTAATAAAATATTATGAAATATAACATATAATACATTTCATTATCACTTATTATATAAAGAATAACAATGAATTTTAAACATATACTAAAGAAACATCATTAGAAGATTCATTTATATTTAACCTTATTTTTTGACTTCTCACCATTTGATTGATAGTTAAATTTATGTGACATTTTTAGTTTTTTATTATTTTACTACACAAGAATTAATCATTCAATAAATCATCTCCAAATTATGCAATCTCTTTATTAACTCCAATATTGATTTTATCTCAAATTACTTAATTTTTTTTAGTAGCCAACCCTTTATCAAAATCTTTAAATATTTTTTTAGAGTTCTTTGAACATCTTTAATTAATTTAAGTGGTAATTAAATGACCTTTTCTATAATAGTATATTTATTTATTAATACAATTATAATATAATTCATTTTATAAATAAAACAATCATTTAAAATGTTCACTTTGAATTCTTAGTCTATAATTTTCACTTCTCAATCCAGATTCTTAAGAATTTTCAATATTACTCATTAATCAGAAAGGGCTTATCACTTTATTAATTAGGTATCTAAATCAATTTAGGTTTTTTAAATTTATTTCCCAAATTTAGGTTTATTAATTATATATAATTTTAGCTTAGAAATTATTGATGGAATATAAATTAAATTATTCTGATTAAATTAACATACCATCATATTTGAAGTAGTTATATAATTATTGATTTTCTATTAATTAATAAAAAATTATAAAGAATATAAATTTTCCTCTGCTACTTTATATATATAAAGTCAATTTTTCTAAAAAATATGAATAAATACCTAAAGATTTTGAATTCGGTTTTGTAAAAAATAAACTTACACATATACATAGATTAAATTATTATCCATAATTCATCCATATATTCTTCAGGAACCTAATTATAACCATCTTTGAAATCCTGCAGGTTTAATAAAAAACTTTGAATTAGAAATTAGATAAAGAGATATTTAATTTTTTGAGTCTCTTTTGAAAATATGATTTCTTTTGAACGCTAAGTTCATACATTTATTCATAGAAATTTAATATAATATAAAATAAAATATCGATTATCATTCTTGAGAATGCTCATAATAAGCAATTCCATACATTATGGCTACAGCAGCAGAAAAAGAAATTAATTAGAGAAAGGCTATTTTACCATTTTCTTCTTTTAAAATAGTAGGTAACATATCAACACAACTTATGTAAATGAAATTACCTGCAACAAAAGATAAAACATATGCTTCATTCTCTATTGATGATATTCCTAATCCTATGAAAGCACCAATTAAAGCACTTAAATTAATGATTCCATTTGAAAATAGAGCTTGTGAATTTGTAAACTTATTTTCAAGTAATATACTTGTATCACCTATTTCTTATGCTAATTCATGAATTATAATTGCAACCAGTGTTGCTATAGTACTGCTAAAATTATCATCATTTGCAGTTGCAAATATGATTCCTAATGCTAAGCCATCCATAATATTATGCAAAAAATCTGAAATCAAGTTTAAATACCCTAATGTTGGTTTATATTTCCAACTATCAAAAGTAAATAATTATTCTGAAATTGAAAGTTGAGATATTTTAGTATAATGCTATTCTTGAATTCTGACTACTTTATCAAGTATATCAGGAGAATCACCTAAATTTTTATTTTCTGAATTAGTTTCTTGTTAGGCAAGATCAAAATTTTAAACTTCAGGTTAAACTTTGTTTTAATTCATAACTTATGACTATAAAAAAACAAAAGCTTTTTCTATTAAAATAAAACTTAGAACTCCTAAAAGTAATAACAAAGATGTTAAAAATTCTTTTGAAATATCTTCTTCTTCNCATACCATCATATTTGAAGTAGTTATATAATTATTGATTTTCTATTAATTAATAAAAAATTATAAAGAATATAAATTTTCCTCTGCTACTTTATATATATAAAGTCAATTTTTCTAAAAAATATGAATAAATACCTAAAGATTTTGAATTCGGTTTTGTAAAAAATAAACTTACACATATACATAGATTAAATTATTATCCATAATTCATCCATATATTCTTCAGGAACCTAATTATAACCATCTTTGAAATCCTGCAGGTTTAATAAAAAACTTTGAATTAGAAATTAGATAAAGAGATATTTAATTTTTTGAGTCTCTTTTGAAAATATGATTTCTTTTGAACGCTAAGTTCATACATTTATTCATAGAAATTTAATATAATATAAAATAAAATATCGATTATCATTCTTGAGAATGCTCATAATAAGCAATTCCATACATTATGGCTACAGCAGCAGAAAAAGAAATTAATTAGAGAAAGGCTATTTTACCATTTTCTTCTTTTAAAATAGTAGGTAACATATCAACACAACTTATGTAAATGAAATTACCTGCAACAAAAGATAAAACATATGCTTCATTCTCTATTGATGATATTCCTAATCCTATGAAAGCACCAATTAAAGCACTTAAATTAATGATTCCATTTGAAAATAGAGCTTGTGAATTTGTAAACTTATTTTCAAGTAATATACTTGTATCACCTATTTCTTATGCTAATTCATGAATTATAATTGCAACCAGTGTTGCTATAGTACTGCTAAAATTATCATCATTTGCAGTTGCAAATATGATTCCTAATGCTAAGCCATCCATAATATTATGCAAAAAATCTGAAATCAAGTTTAAATACCCTAATGTTGGTTTATATTTCCAACTATCAAAAGTAAATAATTATTCTGAAATTGAAAGTTGAGATATTTTAGTATAATGCTATTCTTGAATTCTGACTACTTTATCAAGTATATCAGGAGAATCACCTAAATTTTTATTTTCTGAATTAGTTTCTTGTTAGGCAAGATCAAAATTTTAAACTTCAGGTTAAACTTTGTTTTAATTCATAACTTATGACTATAAAAAAACAAAAGCTTTTTCTATTAAAATAAAACTTAGAACTCCTAAAAGTAATAACAAAGATGTTAAAAATTCTTTTGAAATATCTTCTTCTTCTTCTTCAACTATTTCTTCTTCATTTAATAATCTATCATGCTCATGTTCATGATCTACTTCTTCTTCTTAATGATCATGAGATGCAAATGAATGAGGAATTAAATGTATAAATGCATCACCTTAAAATATATTCAATTTTTACCTAATAATGCTCCTACAGCAAATCCTATTAAAACTTTCATTACTTATTTTGCTGTTTCTCCTTTACTAATGTTTTTTAAAATGATTATTAAAATGGAAACAACAAATCCAATCATACTTACACCAAAAGATGCTAAAATTCCATATCCCCATTTTTCTGAGCTTGTTGGCTCACAAAATACACTTTATATCAAACTAAACAAAATTAAGAGGCAATGGTGATTCATGAGCACAAATAAATATTATTAAAATTTGATAATTTTCTTTAATTAGTATTTATACTTCATTTTAATATATATAAAAATCTACTCAATAATTTATTTATTGTGATACTTTGTTATTTCTTTGAAAATTAATAAAAACATTCTATAAAATTTTATAATAAATAATCAAAGATATATATCATATTTATAAACAATTAATAATTCATCAAAATTATTTATTATTATTTATAATTAAATTTTTATGACTGATCTAGAAGAAAACCTCTTATAAAGATCTGAGGTGATTAAAACCTAATTTTAAGCTCTTTAGGAGGTATTAAGATCTAGTAATAATCAAGAAAGTATAAAACTCTGTAGAAGAAATAAAAGCTTTCAATGACTAGTAATAATCTTTATAGATTGCAAAATTGTATTCTAATCTTTTTACTTAGATAATACAATGACATATAAGTTTCTAGAAATCAATTCAAAATGAAAGCAGAAAAATTAAAAGATTTAATTGCTTAGCTTGAAAAGATAGCTAGAGGAAATGAATAAAAAAATGTGGCCAATAAATAGAAACAATAATATTTAAAAGAAGTAGAGAGATAAAAAAGGATTATGAAAAGCTTTATTAATTCATCATTTGAACAAAAATTTTCAAAAATCTCAGTAATTAGATAATCTAAGGTACATGGATAAGAAACCCAATAAGAATAATTAAAATATTTTGTTGATTAAAATTATGTGAAAGTTGTTCCTAAAGATTAAAGATTATAAAATAATGAAAGAAGTAATCTATCTTAAGTTCATGCTGAAGAAAGTTAAAGAATTAAAGCAGTTTCTATTGATGAGGATTTTATTGAAAATGATATGATTGATTTAGAAAATATGTTAATTGATGAAAGATAACGTGAATTAGACTTAATTGAAAAGGAAGCTCTTTAATTAAATTTGATTGCTAATTAAATGGATGATATGGTAGATTAATAGGGTGAAGAATTAGATTTTGGTTAATAAAATTTAAATTAAGCGAAAACTAATATTATTGGAGTTTCAAATGAATTAGTTGCAGCTGATCAAAACTAAAAATAAGTTATGAAAAAATATTATTATGTAATTGGTGGCCTTATTGTTGTAATTATAGTATTGATTATTGTATTTATTGTAAAATGAATAATGTATATAATATATTTTTATCATGTTCCTGCTGCAAAAACACCAATTAAAATAAATAGCAAGAGCCCTCCTAAAATTAATAAGACATTTTAAGTTTTATTTTCTGATGGATACTCTTATTATTCTCCTTAAAGTCCTTAGTTATTGATATTATGGTCTTTTGAATAACAATAATTCCATTATTTTAATTTATTCCTAATATCTTAAAGATTTTGATATTGAATTTTCTTAAATTCTTGTTATAGCTAAATAGAATTAACACCTAGTCTTTTGATAGTTTCATAAAAATACTAAAATAATAATATTAATTTATTTTACAGGTTTTGGTTTATCAAAATTAAGTCTACTTATTTTTTCTAATTATTTTTTGGCTTCTTAAATTTAATTCAATTCTTATAAAAATTCATTTGCCTCTTTTATCTTTCCTTATTTCTATAAATCTTTCAACATTTCCATTCCCTTTTTTTCTGTAAAATGTTTTACTTCATTAATCTCTTATGGAATTTCCTTTGAATAATCTATTTCATAAGTTAAATTAGCATTTTCAATTAAATTTATATGATTTAATTACCTGTTATTCATAATTTCTATTGCTTATAAATAAGTACTAGCAATTAATTCATCTTCTTAAATTTATTAAGCTTTTTTTAGATCTTCAATTGAAGCAATAAGATTTTCATTACTTAATGGAGATAGTGATAATAAAGCCTTATTAATAATTTTATAAATTACTTTTCCTCTTCGAAATAAAGCTTTCGGAGAATTTGGATCAAAGTTTAATACATAATTAGTTATTTCTATTGTTTATTAAAACAATTAAAGTTTGAGATAAGTAGCTGAAATATTATTCAAAATTTATATTTTTAGTTCTATTATTATGAATATTCTCTTACAATTTAGTAAAATCGATTCTTATTAAGATTTCCCGTTATATTGAACCAAATATTGAGTGTTATTTTTGCATTCCCTAAACTCTAAAAATTAATAAAGTTCTTCATATATTTGACAAGCAATCTAAAAATCATCTTTTCATTAATATATATGAATTTACTCATTTTATAAAATTTATTTCCTCTTTCCTTGATTAAATTGCATACAGTCATTTGTATTTGAAATGTTTATTTTCTAAGATTTTAGAAAGTAGTTGACAATTTTATAAATTAAGGTGTTTATTAATCAACAAGGCTCTTTTTATAAGCCTTTTATAACATTTATTAATGAATACATATAAATAATCAAATATTATTCTTTTAACAGTTTGTCAAGTTTCTCTTAAGAAAATTAAACTAATTTTAAATAAGATATATGAAAAGAGATATATCAAATGATGGTTAAAAATAAAAAGATGATTTTATAAATAAAGTTTATTAGATGTTAAAGTATATGTTCAAAAAAAAAAAAGATTCAATATTGATTAACACGCTTAATTAATCCAATATTAAATAGTAATTAAATAAGTCTTTATTCTTTTCTGCAAATTTCAATCTCTTAGAAAAAGTTAACTACTAATTCGGTTCTTATATATTTATTAACTTTTTCTACATCTTTTAATTTCATGATTGTATTTTTGGATAGTTTGAGCATAGCAATTAATAATTTAGTGATATATTTTTATCCCATCAGTTAATAAATATTTAAGATAAGTATTTAATATTAGAAGGGTGTATTTTAAAGCATCATAGTTAAATAATAAGGGCTGAAGCAAATGCCCAAATCATTAAGTCCAATATCTTAAAGATGCTTAAATAATTTTGGTATAGAAGTCTTCAATTTAAATTTCAGTTTTGCTAAATTTTCAAACAGTCCTGGAGTTCCAGCTATATAATTATTTCTATTGTTGTAAATTAATTCATTGAATATTTTTTAAGGTTAAGGAACTTAAAAATAAACTAAGGTTCCAGCAATAAAGTTCATTCCTTAAGCATATCCAACAGCTGGATCATAATCTGCATAATTAAGAAGGAGCGTTCTTAATTAGTCTTATTTTTATTTATCTTTAAATTATGGTATCTATTAGTAAGTTCTCCCAACGTCTCTATCAATTAATTCTGCATAATATGCACTGGGTTCTTAAGGATTTGGCATTTCAAAGTCTTTGAATTATGAAAATATGTGCATTAAATTGATATGACTTATTATATATTATAATAATACTCTTCTATTGTAAGGAAAGTTGAATAAAACAAGGCTAAAGTTAGATCTTTCTATCTGAAGTCATTTATAGATTCTTCTTCCATAATTTAATTCCAATCTTCTTTTTATATGGCAACAAATGATAGGTTGTGTCTTGGCGTCTATTATTTTGTATTATTTTCATTTTCAGTATCTGAATTTTTAGAAGCTAGCATTAAAGAAATAATTTTAACTAAATTAATAAAATGGTTAAAATGAAATGAGGAGACAATATAAATTCTTTATCATTAAGAATAAGAGAAATATACAAATTTTATAAAGTATTATATTTTCCACTAAAATAAAATATGACTAATTATCAAGAATTTAATATATTTGATTAATCAAAACTTTTTTACTCTCTTTTCTAATATTCATTTATAGCTTTATAGCAATGAAATATAGAAAACATTGTAATTAGATTTAATAATCATAGATTAAATTAAATAAAATGATACTGTTTTTTTAAACAAAGGGCTTCAAATAATATCAAAATTAGATTGATGTTAGAAACATATTAACAATTTAATCGTAATTTAATTTTTATAGTGATATTTTTAGATTAATAGATACAATATTCTAAGAATTAGTAAGTAATCAATTGAATTTTATTGATATTTTCTTATTTTTAGCAAGTATGTTATATTGATTGACTAAAATAATTTATGAATAAAGTATAAAAAAAACAGAATTATATATATAAAATAGAATATAGAGTATTTAATTCTAAGTTTGCTTTCTAAATAATAAAATATATAATTTGAATTAAATTATTATTCCATCGTTAATGAAGAAAATAAGCTCATAGATTTAATCTCTTATCAATAGAAATAGCTTCTAAGAACCTTCATTAAGCAGTGATATAAAATCTTCAAGAAGCAATCCAAAAACTGCAAAGACAGAAAGACCTTAATCTAAAAATAAATAGAATGACTTATTAGATTATCTAAAAAAAGAAAGAAATACAATAACATAAATGGTTAATTCTGTAAAGAATACTTTACAAGGAAGTAAAAGCATAGATAATTTATAAACGTAAAGTTAAAAAAGTGAGCATTTTAAGAACGGACAACTAAATGTAAATATTATCATGAAAATTCTAGCATGTAGATTTGAATGTATAAACTGTTGATGGAAATAATACAAAAAGGTAAATACTCAAATAAAAAAATTTATCACTTGCTATAATATCATTAGAAGTATTCTTAATGAGTTTATTCTTTATAGAATCAACTTTTCAAATAGTTGTAAACTACTAAATAATCTTACAATCAATCCCCTTAAAATTAAATAAAATCACCGATAATAAAATAAAAAAATTAATATTTATTTGATATGCAAATAGTATAACTATTGAAATAATATAATGTAGTTAAAAAACATGAAAAGTTCCTAAGATGATAATTTAAAGAATTCTTAAATAAAATAAAATAAATAGTCGATACTATCTGATGATCCATCATATCATAGATAATCAATAGAGGATATTCTTTATAATAAGAAATAGTTTAAGTAAGTAGAAACATCAAAACCATAATAATATCAGAAATAATCTGAGAATGAAACAAAATCGATTAATTAAATTCATTTTAAAACTGAAGCATGTTCATCATATATTCCATAAAAATAATAAAATTTAGAAGAGCCTCTAAATTATGATTAGGAATAATAATTAAAGATTATATTATATTATAAATAATAGAAGTAATTATTCTTAGTTATTTAGATATCATTATTTATTTAAGTACTAAAATAAAACAACAGATGATCTTTTTAATTATTTGATACAATAAATAGGTGGTATTGAGAAATAATTTACTAAACTTGGAGGAGGAACAGGTTCAACGGATGGAGATTCTATTTAATTAGGTATTAATTAAATTAATTAAAGAATTAAATAAAATAAGTTAATTTCAAACAGTATCAAAAAATATACCATACGATTATTATCTAACATTAAATAATTTGACTATGTAAGTGTTTAAAGGAATAACACTGTAGATTTAACCTTATTATTCTTAATCAATATAAACAAAAAGAGTTGGGTTGAAAGATTTTACATTAATAAAATGTATAGGTGTAGGAGGATTTTCAAGAGTATACATGGTAAGAAAGAAAGATAATGGAAAGTTTTATGCATTGAAACTTATAGATAAGAAATTCATATTTGAAAATTCAAAAGAAATAATAGTATAGAATGAAAGAGATATTATGACTAAAATGAATAATCAATTTATTACACCATTACATTATTCATTTGAAACAAAATATTATATTGCTTTTGTTTTAGAATATTGTGCTGGAGGAGAACTATTTTATCATTTAAGAAAACTTAAGAGATTAAGTGAGTAAGATGCAAAAATATATTTTGCAGAAATATGTTTAGGAATGGCTTATTTACATTCATAAAATATAGTTTATAGAGATATTAAGCCTGAGAATATTTTATTAGATTTATAAGGTCATTTATTATTAAGTGATTTTGGATTATCAAAGCCTGAAATGACACCAGATGATTTTGCTTATTCATTTTGTGGATCACCAGAATACATGGCTCCAGAAATGCTTATGAAAACAGGACATAATTATCTAGTTGATTGCTATTGTTTAGGCGCATTACTTTATGAATTAGTAACTGGATTACCTCCATTCTATTCACATAACACTTAAGATATTTATAATTCAATTTTAACTGAATAAATATAATTCCCAGGTTATATTCACATTTCTTCTCTTTTGAAAGATTTGATATAATCATTATTATAAAAAAATCCAGAAGATAGACTTGGAAATTAAAATGGAATTATTGAAATCTTACATCATAAATGGTTTTAGGATATAGATTTTAATGCAATTTTAAATAAAAAGATTACGCCTCCTTATAAGCCCTATCCTTTAAAATATAATTTTGATGAAGAAGAATTTAATAAAGGAGATGCTGAATTTAGAAAATAATTTCAAATTAATTTATAAAAAGAATTCTAAGTATTAATGAAAATTATTCTAAGAATGTTGACACTGCAAACTATTTATTAGATGATTTCTATTATTCAAGAGATAGTATCTATGGATAAGAAAAATCATCAAGATCTAATGAAGTCAATTTGAACCAGTTATAAAATTAAGCCCTTATTTCAGAACCATTTTCTATAAATCAGTCAAAGATTCAATCACCTTAGCCAGATTAAAATGAATAATAATTTTTATAGTCTTCGCAAGAGTTTAAACGTATTATTGGAACAAAGGGTAAAAGTGAAGTTTACTAAAACCCATTAAAAATAGATAATATGGTTAAATCATCCTAACTCTTACATTAAAATACTAAATTAGGTCATAATTATTCAAAAACGATGTAGTAGGCCTAATCTTCACTTTAAGACTTTAAAGTAATTGTTATTTATATTTTTAGTAAATTAAATTATTAATTGATTAATCAAAAGCTTTAAAAAGCTCAGATCGAATAACTACTATGCCTGATTAAAATAAAAAAAATATAATAGATAGAGTAAAAACAGAGTAATTTGGAAATTTAGCATCTCCAAAAACAACTACTGGTAGTTCTGTACATAAAATGAGTAATTTTTAAGCATTATTTGGATCTGAAAAATAATAGAAAACATTTTTCTGATTAATTAAAGAGTATATAGTAATTTTGATATTATTAACTAAAAATTTAATCATTAAAACTTATTTCTTAATTATCTAAAATTTGGTTGGTTATTTTTTAGTATTAATAAATTATAATTCTTTAAATTTGAATTATTTGAATTTAATATTGATATGCATATTAAATTTGTGATATTATTGTATCATTTATTGGTTAATTAACAAACTACTCTTAAACTTCTTAATTTAAATATTTTATATATTGATTTTTATTAAAATTTCCAAAAAGGCAATGGAATATATACAATTATCAACATATAAGAAAAATAATTATAAAAAGGGATCTTACAAATCTAATTAATGATTTTCAAAGTGATAGTAGTATGCATAAGATAAAAATTTTTTTGATTAATAGTCTAATACATCGAAATAGTGATAAATTAAATAAATAAATTATTCTGTTGCAACATTAATGTACTAATGATATCATTTTTTCTTTTATTCAACTTTTTTAATATAAAACTCTAATTCTTTTCCTTCTAAAATATAACCATCTGCCCTCCCTGATTATCCAGGTCTGGATGTTATTCTAACCAATAATCTTTAATTAGAGAACTGTTCTTGAACTAATTAATCAATCACATTCTCTTTTGTTCTTTATGTAATTTTTTTTTATAAAGAATTTGATTTTTAAGTCTATTCAACTGGTGCATCCTAATATTTCAATAATATAGCTACTTTTTTGTCTTTTCTTTTTGGCCCCAATTCAACATTGTATTTTTTAGCATACCATTATTTGAATGGAGTAGCATCAACTTAAACAATTACACCTCTTGTTAATGTTTTTGTTCTCACTAATTCATTATTTGAAGGATGATAAACAACCTCAACAATTTTTGCTTTTTTTGCAACACCTTGACTACCCCAAGAGAAATTGCCTTCAGATAAACGAAGTGCTCTAAATTTATAATTGCCTCCTCTAACTCTAATTCTTCTCACTCTTTTTTCACCAGAAATCAATTTAGTCATAGCAGCTTGTCTACCTTTTTCAAATGCTCTCTTCTTTTTGTGAATTGGCATTCGACCTCCTGTTAGTCTTCTTTTATGTCTACTATCTCTAGAAATTCCCATGAATTATAAATATTAATATAATTAATATAAAAAGATTTTATTTAATTTAAAAAGTAAAATGGAAAACATTATAATTTTTATCTATTCATTTCAAATAAAAAAGAAGTTTCATCCTTTATTGTCCATTATTATTGTAACTTAAATGGTCTCTTTAAGCTATCTAATTTTAAATTAGATTGTTTATTAAGAATTCAGTTCATAAACGAATAAATTTTATTCAAAAATACTTTCACCCTTTTTACGAAAAGAGGTGAATATTTGTTGCTTCTGTATATACATTAATTATTTAAAGAACAATATAAATCTATCTAAATTTCAATATTATTATATTAATGATCAAAAATAAAAACCAAAATTTCATATTGAATCAAGAGTTAGAACTTCACTACTAACTTATATATGTTAAATTAAATATCTTAAAAAATCTAAATTAAATCATAAACATGTTTTTCTTGTTATTTCATACTTCCTTTGTAATTTTTATTTGGTATTTTTCTCTAAAAATATTGATAATATTACTTTAAAATGTCAAATAAATGATACACTTATTTTGAACTCATAGGCTATTGTATTTCAAAATCAAAATAATTTGAAGGCATTTTTAAATTAATCTTTGGAATTCTAACTTTTATTTCATTTAAATTAAGACTTCTTTTTCTTTATCTGATATCTGTTTCATTTCTACTAGAAGGAGTTGGGGTACTTTCTTGAGTAAATTATTATGAAGATTGTCTATCTTATTTTATTTAAACTATTCTTTAGTGTTTATCTACCTATTAATAGTTAACATCATAAGGAGAAAGACTTGGCAATTTTTAATGATGAATTTCTCTATCATTTGTTGAACCAAATGTAATTTATCTAGTATTTCGAATTTA